AATAATAATTGAGGAAGTCAAACAGAAAATGGCTATTCAGGCCTCTGCCTGGATTCAATAAAGAGATGATAGGGATGGACACAAAAATTTGGTTTCCACCGACTCTATTTAGAGCAAATGGTCCAATATTCCTACACTAACAATTGGTTCTGAAAAACAGAGCAGCAGTACCTTTTTAAAATCCAAAAATCTAAATTGACTTACCTCAGATAAACGTGGCACTACCAATCGACACTCACACAAAATGGAAGCCAACAATTAGATTAAAAAAAAATTAAAATATAATGTTTATATTTCAAGAACAGATAAGATAAGATTTATCAGGTAAAAACTTAATAATGATATGATAATATGCATTGATAGCAAAATATATTGAAAAATCTATAAAGGAGAATCCAAAAATTAGGAGCAAAAATTATTCAAAATAAAGAGGACTTGCTTGCCAGACTTCTGTCAACGAAAGAGATCGTTTTAGAAACTGACTCATCGATGGTGAACTCTGAAATTGAGTGGAATTGATATGTTGTTGAGTATGTCAAGGAGTGCTAGTAGCTGGATTTGGGAGAACTAACTCTTTTACTTTATCATGCAAGTCGGCATCTAGCCGCAGCATAAGAATCATCTTTAAGTTTTTGATTGTCAGCATAATTCGCACTACTTGGATCAAGTTTAAATCTCAATACACGGTTGGTAAGATGTAGAATGCGTGCTCTAGCTCTAAGATAGATAGAGTCACTGGTAGGACCTTCAGAGTCAGCAATTAGATTTATTATTTTTTCTATTTCTGTTTTTTCACTATTAATATCAAAAAAATTATCTACAAGTTTCAAAATATCTACATTATTTTCACGTTCCTCAGCCAAAAGTGGACTAAGAGTTTTTCTTTTCTCAGCCACCAGCTGATTACAAATAACAGCACGTATTCTTAGTTCGAAATTAAGTTCGTCTTTAAGAAGAAGATTTGGCTTAAAGTTATCGTCCATTTTTATTGCGTTTCGAAAGTAAGAAATTGATACTGAGGTCAAACCAAAAAACTTGAAGAAAAACAAGCAGTCTTATTTATGAAAACTCTTCATCATACTTATCACAATACGCAGTGGAACAGAAAAGTGAAAATCCCAATCATTGAATACGTTGATTATCTTTTGACGAGAATTTCAAAAAATAAAGATGCACTCGACAACACTGTTAAGTTATATTATTGAAATTAAGAACATCCAAATTTGTTATAATTTAGTCTATTAGCCTATCCAAAACACGTGACTTTGACAAGCAAACAAGGGTTTGTGTGCCTCTTGACGGACATTTCAATTTAAATTTGACAGCACTCAAGATAGTCAGCGTATTCAAAACACATGACTTTGACAAGCAACCAAAGAGTTTGTGTGCCACTTGTCGGACATTTTAATTTAAGTTTGACAGCATCTTGAATAGTCTAATTCATCGATAGGTTCCGGTTTTTCAAGGGCAAAAAAAAAACAAAAACGAAAAACCAAACTGCAAAAATATCGACCTCGCAAAAGGTTTATCACTCAACTCAAGTATCTTTATGGGCTTAGTGATAAACCAATTACAAAAAAATACTTGCTACTGTAGTAACACTAGTAGCTCTTATCCAAGTCGAACCAGGCCAGACGCTTTTTCCTAAAATATGGGAAGGAAAAATAGTTGTTATAAAAACATATAAGTATTCTAAAATATTGAAGGTGCTTAACCATTACTACTTGTACACTCATCAATCAAAAACCAAATTTTTTAAAAAAAAATATGGCAAATAATAATTACTTATTTGTTTAGATTTCAGAAAGTGAAAGAAAATGATTGGAACTTTGTCCGTCGGGCCCCACGTTGGGCGCCAAAATAAGTATAGCACCTTTTTTTTTCTTTTGGTACACAGCGAACGGCAGCTTTTCATCTGGAGAGCTGATGGGTCGGAATTCAAAATCAAAGTTTAATTTTCAATGAATTTTTCAATTATTTAGTCAAGTACCTATTCAAATTCAATATACACCTAAGAATATATTCCTAAAAGAGCGCCACGCAATTTTTAATTGATTTGGTTTAAAATGCGAAACCAAACATGGTGAACATCTACAAGATTATTGGTGAGAGTGGGACAATAATAATTGAAACAACACTTCATTCTTCGATTATTTTGTTTATCCTCGAAGCGGTCACAATCTCAATTCTACCACGAAGACTTTAACCAATAGAGTACGTCGTGTCTCGTGTCTTGCGACTCTTAAAGTGTGCGAGTACTGAAGTACTGAATTCCGTAGGGCTGGAAATGCAGGACGATGATGGTATGGGGTGCAAACTACCAAACAAACAGGTATATGGTATAACCAACTAATAAACAATGGTTCAATTCTTGGAGTCTACAGGGTAAAAGACACACATGTCACAAATGGGGCGGAAAAATGGAATAAATGTGGAAGTATATTCCAGGTAAAGAAATTAATGCTTGAGCAGCGTACCTTAATTGGATTCCACAAAACACAACACAAAAAGCAATTCAGGCACGCCAAAGATTCTGGATTGAAAACCCAGGAAGTTGAACAGAAAACCTCCTTTTCTCTGGCTCTAGTTAGTAGGTACTTGATGGCCTCTTGATCCATTAATAGAAAACTTCAACAAAACTCCAAAAAGGTATTTGGGCAGATGATACTCGATTTATTTTTGGACCAAGAAAATGGCGTGTTGAGTCACACATAGAATCAGTACCAGAATGGCGGTCTCCAGAACCCGTAGAATTGATTCCACCAGATTCGATTAGAACGGAAGTACAAGAAAGAAGAAAACGAGGTTAATTTGAATGGGTACCAAAATTCAAAGATTTTTTCTCCGATGACTGTCATCGGAGAAACACGGAAGAGAACACTCCGTTCTCTACCACACCGCCTCTGAAGATGTCTACCGCAGCAGTGAATGAAACGTTAGGTAGAAATACTAATGGGCCACGGCATTATAGCCCGGAAAAAACTTTTTCACTACAAATGACAACGTTGAAAAAATTCGAATTTGGCTTTGGCCGTGGCCCGTGGCTGACACTGGTTGACATTTAAAAGATGGAAATTTCTGCAGCAAAAGGTGTAACAATAAAAATAGACAAAATGATTCCTAAGCGAAAGCCCCAGCATCGATGAGCCAATCAGTGTTATGTAAGATTAACCTTTGCGAATTCATCCCCTTTCGAGCTAGGCTAACACACCAGGTAAGTATTGTATCGATATTAACCTATGTGTTTGTTTATTTACTACCATTATATCAAAGTTAAAATAATTAATAATTCTCGTTTGCTTTAGGCTACAGTAAGTTAAAGCCCATAGTCCCTTACCGTGAGCAAGTGGAGAAGATGCGTTGTTTATTCTTCAACTGAGATAAACAGATGATGGTGACCAAAACAAGGATTATGTGTTTTGAAGTAATGAAAGCGAAGTGGAATTTGAATAGGTTAAGTTTGTAAATAAAAACATGATTGATGTATTATTTCGTATAATTGAAATTAAATGAAAATATTCAACCGATGGGAAATCCCATCCTAAATTTTTTTCAAGTAAAAATATAATATAACCAGATATAAACCTTTCACGAAAAAAAATGAAGGGTAGCATTTGAAGAAAATTCAAATGCTACAGGAAGTCGCGTATCATTTTATAAACTAGTAAAATCCCAATCTTCATGAAGAAAAACCTAAGAATAATTTAATGGACACATGGCCTTTGAAGATTCTAAAACGTCTCAAAACTCATGGTTCAATTCCATCTTAATTTTTCTCCTGGGATGTTGCTATTCTTATTTTTTTTTTCTAGTTTTGGTGAACAGTCTGCAAACAAAAAAGCCCACCTCGACTCCAACAATTTCCAGAACGAAAATTTCCGAAACGACGGCGGCGACAGCCAAAGCAACTTGGACAGTAAAGTAGCTCACCACAAAGGCCATCATAAGTCAGGATTTACCAATAGCTACCACAAAGACGAGAGCGGAAGCAATTCGAGCTATTTCGACGACGGCAGCGACGAAGGAGGACAGATTGAACATAAAAACTTTAGAGGTAACTTATCCAGTGCCTAGATACAAATATTTATGTATATTTTTGCATAGAAAATCATGGAGATGTAGCTCATCAGAAAAACGGAGGAGGCAGGTACGACACGGCCGAGCTGGAAAATGAACAAGCCAGGCGTGGACTGTACGATAATAATGGCCGATACGAAAAAGATCACGAAAACAAACGCAATTACAACAAAAATAACTATTACGATAACAGAGAGGATTTGGATCAGAGAAATTTGGGCAATGATGGGGGCGCTAGATATTACGAAGAACAATATGATCAGAGGTATATACGTTGGAATTTTGTTGATTATTGCTTGAAATAAATTTCCTTTTTATTTAGACCTGGAGGATACTACCATCATCCACCTCCTTTGCCTTACCGACGACCACCTTTGCCTCAGAAACACCACATTACAATCTACGAAGATCCGAGATATTTGCATTCTGATCCCAGATATAGACGATCAGACGATTACGATTATGTGGAAGTGGATGTGAGAAGTCCAGTAGAACGAGACCTTTATGTACAAAGACATTATGATAACCGAGATCAAAGATCTGATGATTATTATTACTACTAATAAGTTCTTGTGATTTATTATTTATTAAATTTTTCTGTAGTGACTGTAGTTAGTAAAATTGCTTTTAAATTAGTTGAAAGCGACATCTAGCAGGCGAATGCTTTACGATGAAATATTATCGAACGCTTAAAGTAGGTGTTACAAGTTTCCATTACGAGAAAATCGATTAAATCAGATATCAACAGTTAACATGACATGGTAATAATAGGGGCCGGTGCACATTCTATCATCACCTTCCATAATTAACATTGAGTAATCCCCAATGATATTTTTGTTGTTATTAAACGTTGCCTGGCTAATATCGACCACATTCAATCATAAGTTTTTCAATCATTCTAAACCAAAAATTCGGGGCGCAACATGGAATTGCAATTATCTAGAGTAGACTACACTGTAGTGGGTGTTGCGAATAAAAATTGCGTTAGATTGTTGACGGGTTCCACTCCAAAAGAACCACAAAAGGTAATACAGGATTTTTCTAGTTTTATTGTTTGTGATATACTTTATAGTATTAATGAGTTAAGTAGCATGCAGGAATTTTCTTGCGTCAACTACGATTTGAACCCAGGAGCCTCGAATATCCAGAGCAAGGCTCTAATCAGAGATGCTCTAACCAACTGAGCTACCGAAACCTGTCTCATTTCTACCCTGTCGAGTCTATCATCAATTTCAAAATATTATTTGATATATGGATTCCAACAGGGTAGAAATGAGATAGGGTAGAAATGAAACAGGTCTCGGTAGCTCAGTTGGTTAAAGCATTGTACTGGATATGCCAGGCTCCTGGGTTCAAATCCTAGTCAAGAAAATTTTAAGCTCATTGACACTGTAGTACAGGATCTTGAAAATTTCGTTTTCTAGGTTGCTATTGCTGACAGTGAAGGAATTTTGCAAGTATTTTCAGTTAAAAAGGACGACATTCAAATCCATTTCAAAACGTTACCAGGACCGAAAATTTCGTCTTTGAAAATATCAGGCACAACTGGTAATAACCACTAAACACTTAGTTTTAATTATTTATTATTTTCCTTAGGATCATCGCACGATAAAGTATTCATTGCAGCCGGTAACGAAGTCAAAGGATACACAAAAAAAGGAAAGCTCTTTTTGGTTTTCGATTCTGGCATGACAGAAAATATACATTCTATGTAAAAACCTTCATATTGATATTGAAAATTAATACAAAAACAAATTACAGGTGTGTGTTGGGCAATGAACTATTTTTATGCGGAAAGCACGTTTACAATCATTTCAGGGATTGCAAAGATGTCGGGTCTTACTTATGTGGCGATATTATAGTAGACGTTATTGCTTTTTATATGGTTAAGGTAAAAAATCTATCTACCTGAATCATCCATCAAACTTAATCCCGCAATTTCCAGACGAGAAGATTAACATCCCTCATTGCTTGCGAAGGTCGCATGATAAGAGTTCTGGAACATGCCAGAGTAACTGCCAGCATGGAAGTAGAAAGTTCACCGACAGTACTTCATGTTTACGAAGACGACGATTCCAAAACGGTCCTATTTGGTACTATTGATGGAAAAATTGGAATTTTAGATGTTGAGGGGTAAATTTGAATTCAAACTAATCATTCGATTTTTTTTTTTTTTGTATTTAGTTTGCAAGGCTTTCGACGTTGGTTGATATCCAATGAGAAAAATGTGGGTCCAATTTTGTGCATCGATAGCTACGATATGACTGGAAATGGTGCTAAAAATTTGATATTGGGCCGACAAGATGGCAACATTGAAATATATTATGTAAATGTACATGACAATATGGATTCTACTTGTTTGATATTTGTTGAAGTAAATAACCCATTAAAACTTATAAGGCCTAATTAGTTACTTTTTAGAGTTGCAATGAAAGCATCGTGTCTCTTCAATGTGGAATTGTAGCTGGACAAGGATACGATGAAGTCCTTGCAGTTACTTACAGCGGACGAGTTTTTGGACTCACCACTCAAGTAACTGATGCTAATTTTGATGGGTCCACCGGCAGTTATGTATTCTCAAATGATACTTCAATGAAAATTAGTAAACTAAAGGCTGATGTTGAAGAGCTACAAACAAAAATCAACAAAGAACGTGAAAGATATCAAAACTCTACACTAAGCAATAGTTTCATGGATCTGTCCGCAATATCTTTGATCCCAGTGAACTATACTTTGATTTTAGACCGCAAAACGGCCACATACGTTTTAATCCTAGAAGTCCCTACCCCGATAGACAATATTTTGATCGAGTGCAATTTGAAAGTCAAGCTGTTAGATGTTGAGAAAAATACTGCTGTTATTAGCTACAGTGAAACAGAACAATCAGGAGTAAGAATTACATGTTTTGTTGGCACAGTCTAGATATAACGTTTGAGCTGTATTTTCAATTAGATATACATAGTTTTGGTTGGTTGGTTGGCTATAGCAGAGATCTAGGCGCTGTAGTAGCCTTCCATGCACTGTTGGCTTACTGTGCACCCCAATTTCCTTCTTGCGCTACAAGTTTTCTGTATCAGGGGGCTAATAGCCTTGGACAAGATTTTCAGGTGGTAGTCTATCCCCAGTCTGTATTGCTCCAAAGAATATGTATTCACACAATCATATATGATGTGGGAAGCTATTTCGTCTTCGTCTCCACATAGTCTGCATTCAATGGGTCCATTGAATATACCCATCCTGTGCTGATACTTTTCCAAGTGACAGTGTCCTTTCATTAGCCCTATAACTTGTCTCATCTGTGTGCGCGTAAGGGCCGGTTCGGCAATTCAAGTATACCTATACCTAGCAGAAAATATCATTTTAGAACTCAACCCTTTATTCCTGAGTGGCCAGGAACCCATAGGAGTCGAACCTTGTTTTCCTTAGCAAGCTGCTTCAGGTCAGTGAGGCACTTCATCGTCATTTGGGAAGTATTGCGATAGGGCAATAGGAATCCAACGGTTTTAGTACTGCTTAGCTATCCGTGAAAGTAGCTACGTTCTGGTTTTCACATGTTTGCGTAATGCTTTATATTACAAATCGACAAAATACAAAACCCTTTAGTTAAGAAAGCTCCTCTGAACTCAAGTCTTCCCAGTGCCTGTACCTTCAGTTGAGAAAGCCACTCTAGGTATCTTCAGCCTTATTGTTGTTCAGCGCCGGTACCCTTAGTTAAGAAAGCTCCTCTGGACAAGGCAGTCCCCCAAGCAGCGTTGACGTGTGACCTCCTAGTAGGGTCATACACCCTATAATGATAATCTGATACTCCAAAGTCCAAAGGAATGTGAGCTACTGGTGGCTCCCTAAATAAGAACGCCAATGGTCACCTGACGTCACACTTGTTTTTGCCATATGCTTCACCCCCTCGCTCCTGATACGGAAAGTATCAGATTAAAAACGACGTACAATATCGGGGCTGGACAACGATGAGGCTAGAGATACCCAGAGTGGTTTTCCCAAATGGAGGTACAAACACGGGAGAGACACTTAAGTCAAGAGGAACTTTCCCAACTAGAGTTACCGGCGCTAGTTTGTCTCCTCAGTGCTTTTCTCAACTAGAGGTACCAGCGCTGGACAACTATCGACTGAAGACTCAGAGTGGCTTTTCCAACTGGAGGTACAGACAGTGGGGAGATTTGAGTTCAGAGGAGCTTCTGTTCACCTCTGTACTGACAACTCTGTAAAACAGGCGGTTGTGAGAATATTTCAAAGATGCAACAATAAGTTTTCAAGGTGTGCATAATTCAGGAACTTGTAACGTGCCAAAATTGCCTTCAACTATTTCACACTTATTTTCAGTTTTCTTTCCAAAATTCCTATAAATATTTGATTTTTCCCTGATTTTATTAGGCTTTGTTTACATTTTTCCTTTATAAAAATTCAGAAATAATTACAGTAATTGCAGATCCTGTAAATTTCCTGATATTTATTATTTTAATTGTATTTTCACTCGTGAGTAGTTCTTGTTGACGACTAATGATTTTCCTCGATATTAATCAATCTTTTTTTTTTCAGTTCCAAATAATTAATCTTCATGTTAACAAATCAATATATTTCTTAATCTTGGGTTAGTTTTTCTAAATTGTGGTCCGTTCACGAAGTGTGTACTGCACGCTGCACGTACTCTGTATTTTCAACTGAATTCAGTACCAGATTAATGACCGTTTGTACCGACCATGTCAAGGAAGCCTTAGCGATAAGTATTCCTTAAAATTAGGTACATTTTTACATGGGGAAAAGTCACTTTGAGGAATACTTATCGCTAAGGCTTCCTTAAACTGGTCGGTGCAAACGGCCATAAGTCCTGTAATCTTGATTATTTACTTATTTTATTTTTTTTTTTTACTTTAAAACTTTCCTTCACTGAAAAAGGTCGCAAATTGATTTGCGCCCAACGTGGGGCTGCTGTTTTTTTGAAAGAACTTTTTTCATTTTTTTTACTCCCTTATAACTATACCAATATTTAAATTAATGAATTATTAATTTTCTTTTGGCTGTTTTAGGTGCATAGAATCAAATTTCAATTTCTATCTTTTTTTTTTATCTATCAGTGTGAGAGAGTCGCTTGACTATTTTTGAATTATCTTTATTGTTGATTGCCTAACGTATTGATTGCTTAGACAAAAGGGATTACAAAATTACTATCTCGTACCTAAAAATGGAAATGCTCATTCATGAGATTATTGTCCGAGGTGTTTAGTTGATGATACCAAGGCTTTGGACGAATTAAGGTCTATATTGCGACCACTTTTAAAGTTAGAAAAGTCTGGAGCATATTCTCTTAAGTTCGATGTTGAGAAGGTTCAAATAAGGCAATTCCTTGACGAAACAAATAATGGTATTCCCACCATATCAGGAGAGGCAAACCAAAATAAATTTGTAGCCACACAGTCAAGGTTAGTTCATTTGTTTGAGCGGGTAAAACGAATCCCTGACTCTATTTTGTCAACGGAAGAACGGTCTGAGAAGACTGAACTCCTCATTGATGTTTTAGCTGCGTTGGCTCATTTGGAGGCTGTTGTTAGAGCTGACCCCGAACTTAGTCAACAGCTAGATGCTGATGAATTTCATGTATCTTCTCCAGTACATAGCTTCACCAACCATCGATTCATTCCACAAGTACCAATTGTGCCTAATAGTTTTATAAACCTCCATATCTAGATAAATGGAATCTCAAATTTTCTGGTAACCCTTAATTGTCCGTACATAATTTCCTAGCGAGAGAGGCCGAATTAAGTAAATCCCGCCATGTCACAGAAAATCAACTAATCGATCGAATTATTTTCGGGCAAAGCTTTAAATTGGTATAGAGCAAACCGTGACAGATTCAATAGTATGAAAACCTTGTGTGAGTTGCTTTGTCGTCACTTTGAACCACCCGATTATCGTCCTAGACTTTTTAGAGGAAATACTAGAGCGCACTCAAGATACTACAGAAAGCATTTTAGACCCATTGTACCTATCTTGCATGTAAATTGTGTTTAGGCGTTATGATGGATTGACCCCTGAAACACAGTTGGATATTTTGTCCCGGAATTTATCACCTTTTTACCAAGTAAATTTGATGCTAATGAGCTGCAATGTAATTTCGTTTTCTTCATTTCATTCTGTTTATTCTTAAAGTGCCTTATGGCTGAGGTTAGTTACAAATACAGAGTACGCGCGGCGTGCAGTACACACTTCGTGAACGGACCACGATTTGGAAAACTCAACCCAAGAATAAGAAATATTTGATTTGCTTACATGAAGATTAATTATTTGAAGCTGGAGATAGAAAATATTTATTAAAATCGAGAAAAATCAAATTTTGGCACGTTACAACCCCCCCTCTCCTACGATAGGAGGGAAAGTTACAAAGAAACTTTTCCGATGATAATCTAAGAAAACTCGAGAACTAAGATAATATAAAGAAGATCAAATATTTGTATTTATAATTCGAATCAAAATGACTATCAAGGAACAACAAATGAAAGGTAAATATTAATGAACGTAGTTACGTGTCTTCCCAGAACGGGTATCTACTTACTTTATCCTAAAAAACACAGAGGTAAGACCTGAACTAAAGTCAATGAAGCTAGACGTAAAAGCAAAAATAAGCAAAGTCGTGAAGGAAAGAAAAGTGTTGAAGCTCTCAAAGCAATGCGAAAGGTTGAGTCAAAACGCAAGAGATAAACCATCTACTTCAGATACAGGGTAAGGTCAGGTACAGGGTAACAAAACACAACATAAAGAAAGGTAAGAACATCATCTCGAACACAAGAAACTAATGAAAAGTAATCAACTATTGACAAAAGCAGTAAACGGAGAACTCTATCGACCAAATGACATGGCACTGTCCCGTTTCGCGCCAAGACAGTAACACGCAACTAAGACAGTCAGCTCTTCACATCACATCTGACCGTAATGCTTTTTATTACAAATTGACAAAACACAAAACCCTCTAGTTATGAAAGCTCCTCTGAACTCAAGTCTCCCCAGTGCCTGTTCCTCCAGTTGGGAAAGCCACTCTAAGTATCTTCAGCCTTATCGTTGTTCAGCGCCGTTACCTTTAGTTGAGAAACTCCTCTGGACAAGGCAGTCCCCTAAGCAGCGTTGACATGGGACCTCCTAGAAGGATCCTAGCGTTAGAAGGGTCATGCCCCTATATAGACCCTGAGATAGGGCCTGTTTAGTGGAGTCATTTTTTTTTTGTCTGGCATTTTGAGGGATGAATGTAACTAGTTAGGTGATGAGAATATAAGCGGTTTTAATGCCTGCCTCCTGTTCGAAATGTCCACAGAATGTTTCGCCGGAAAACTCGACTTCGAACTGTGATTACTGTCTGGCGATTTTTCTGCGTTATTTTCACAACAAAACCTTCCATTCTCTTGATTACCAGACAAAAAGTAAACGCGGAAGGTTCTTTTCTTTTCTCTTGGAAGTTGACACTCATCCCCACTTTTTCAGCTATTGAAAAGCATCTGGTATTTTTTATGGGTGAATTATTAATCAATGTCAATCTTTTATTTAGAACCCAAAAAGTTTGAGATTATTAAAAAAATTCTTCATGTTAATCAATTTTTTTCTTCTGCAAATTTTCGAACGGGAGGCCAGCATTAAAATCACTCATATTCTCATCAGCTTAGTAGCCACATTCAGCCCTCAAAATGCCAGACAAAAAAAAATGACTCCACTAAACAGCCCCTATCTCACAGTCTAATAGGGGCAGGGTTAAATTGAGCAAATATATTATCACAACGGCGGAGGTGTAGGAGGGAGAGAAACTCGCTCAGTTTACATGAAAATATGTACAGTGAGAATCATTGCAATTGGCACACACTATATAAACATCTCCCCGTAACGTGTCAAAATTTTACTTTGACACACAGGTAATACCAAAATCGTGTCAAATTGATATATCAGTGGTGAACATAATAGTTTTTATAAACTGCTGAAGGGAGAAAAAAAATTCGTACACCACTGCACTAAATAGATTTATTGGTTAACATTTTGACTTAATACAAGAGATGTTAAAAGAGTAGAGTATGTGCCAATTGCAATGATTCCCACTGTATATTTGCTCTACGAAAATCTTACATTAATCCTCCAGGATGCATGCCTCTTCCTTGCGGAGTCGGATAGGGCCACACGTCGGACTCTACTTAGGAATGTCGGTCTAATGATGTTACGTTGACTTCTAATAGTTATTTAACTGATCCTCATCTAGGAGGGCTTTCCCAGGGTGGCGGTACTTACGTCGCATTAGATGACAATGCAGTGATACCCAGAGGGGTTTTCCCAAGGCGGAGATTTGACTTCAGAGTGGCGTTCTCAGGGTTACTGTAACACTGGTTCAAGTCTGTATGTTGTTTCCCTCGACCCGCTATTGTTGAATTTCAATATTCGACGGAATCCGTAATTAAATTAATAAGGTTGAATACCGGGCCCTCCTTTCTTAAGTAATTAGTTGTAACGGGATTATTTTTCCCCCTCAAGTAAAAGTACCCCCATCTATCTCATTTGACCTATACAGTTTTCATTTCGCTATTTTTCAGTACCATCTAACAATTGTTGTGATTATTTATTTAAACATTTCATATTATATATTGTCAACTACTTAAGTAAATACCACTCTGTACATCAATTTTACTAAAGTGTGTCGACGAGTCAGCATTAATTTGGTATAAATACCGTGCCGAAATCCATTACCGACAGACTAAGGCTAGTGCAAAGTACCTCTAATGGGAAAAGCCCCTCTAGCTAAATCTCCTCCCAGTGCAAACTACCTTTAATGGGAAACGCCCTTCTGGACCTGTCTCAAAGCCAACCAGTCTTCAGTCACGCTAGGTGTACAGAGGGTACATAATACAGAGTGGTCCATAAGTACGACCCTCCGTAGAAGAGACGTCATGATACCATTTCTAGGGTAATACTATTATTATTCAATACACATCTTATTATACATATACCAAGCGAGTTTCTCTCTACCTGAACCCTACCTACGCCCCCAAGTCACGCTCCTGTTGTGACGTCCCAGGACGAAACGTATAGGGGTTGTGACAATATTATTACAGATTCCTACACTTGCTTTATAGTACCGATGGTTCTATTATAGATTTCCGTACTACCTTCCTTTGTACCATTACAGTTTCCTCTATTTGGTGGGTACCAGGCACTGTCAGTAGCAGTACCAGTATCCCCCAATAGATTCTGTAGAAATTCCTCAAGTTTTTTTTCTGGAGGAGAAAGGATTAAAAATCGGTTTTTTATTGGTAATTAAGGCCTCTATCTGGCTATACATTGTTCTGATTGTTAAAAAACCTTGGTATGCTGAACAATACTTATAGACCCTGAGATAGGGTCTGTTTAGTAGAGTCATTTTTTTTTGTCTGGCATTTTGAGGGATGAATGTGACTAGTTAGCTGATGAGAATATAAGTAGTTTTAATGCCCGCCACCTGTTCGAAATGTCCACAGAATGTTTCGCCGGAAAACTCGACTTCGAACTGTGATTACCGTCTGGCGATTTTTCAGCGTTATTTTCACAACAAAACCTTCCATTCTCTCGATTACCAGACAAAAAGTAAACGCGAAAGGTTCTTTTATTTTCTCTTGGAAGTTGACACTCATCCCCATTTTTTCAGCTATTGAAAAGTATCTGGTATTTTTTATGGGTGAATTATTAATCAATGTCAATCTTTTATTTAGAGGCCAAAAAATTTGAGATTATTAAAAAAAAATTCTTCATGTAAATCAATTTTTTTCTTCTGCAGATTTTCGAACGGGAGGCAGGCATTAAAATCACCCATATTCTCACCAGCTTAGTAGCCACATTCAGTCCTCAAAATGCCAGACAAAAAAAAATTACTTCACTAAACAGCCCCTATCTCACAGTCTATTATGATGGTAATAATTACGGGGTGAGTATTTCTTTTGACCCCAGAGTTTCACTATCAATCAGCTGGAGGATAACCATCTGATTTCAGGACCCAGGACAACACATACATGTGACCCAACTAATTTACAGGGCGTTCCTTGATTGTTTGCTGTTTGCAAGTATTACAGCGACCCAGGAATATACCTGACGTGGAGTAAGGATCTAGGATCCTCCCCAAATCTTCTTGGTAATTAGGGATGTTCCAGCAACTAGAGGGGGGGCAGTTAGGCCGACTGGAGTAGTTCAGAAGGTACCTCTGGAGTACTGGGGGTTGATGGGCAACCGGTACTCGTGTATCGGAGGAAAAACAAGGCCTCCAATACGGGAAAGAATGAAAGTGAAGAGAGACTAAAGGAAAAAGGCCAAAAAAAAAGAACAAGATTTTCGCACATGGTAAGCAAACAGCAAATATAGTAAAGAAGTATTTTAAAAGAACTTTAACGTTGTAGAACTTATCCAAAAGAGGAATAGCAGAAAATGAAAACTAACCAAAATACTTTGGCCTTTTCCAGATACAGCACACGAAGAAAAACGGCTAAATTTGTGACTTAAACCCTTTAAAACACACACAACCAAATCTGCCTATAGTGGCACTGTGGTGCTATAATCTCAGCAACCCACAATTGGGTTTTAGGGGCTCAAACTTATTTTTGGTTACAGTCGAACTTATTTTTGGTTTTAGATCAGCAAAAATGCTTAGGAAAACTGCCCTCTTTTCTACCAAAAAAAAAAAAAAAAAACGATTTTTATTCCTTCCTTTCTCTTCCAGAAAAAAAACCTTGAGGAATTTCTAGAGAATCTATTGGGGGACACTGGTACTGCTACTGACTGAATGCCTGGTACCCACCAAATAGAGGAAACTGTAATGGTACAAAGGAAGGTAGTACGGAAATCTGTAATAGAACCATCGGTACTATAAATGAAATGTAGGAATCTGTATTAATATAATATAATATGAAATGTTTAAATAAATAACCACAGATAGTACTGAAAAATAGTGAAATGAAAACTGTATAGGTGAAATGACAACTTTTTTCTAGATAGGGGTACTTTTACTTGAGGGGGAAAAATAATCCCGTAACATAGTTGACAATTTATCTATCTACTTTGTACAATGTACTTGAGCGAGCTTCTGTCCATCAACCCCCAAAGCTACAATCCCCATGTCACTCCGCAGTTGTGACAATGGTATTTGTTCAACTGAAACTGTCCTTTGTTCCCCATCATTTTATTACCTAACCTTGCTTCTGATGTCTTTCTGGTGTTTAATTTATGAGTTCATCTTCAGGTCCAGGAACCTGTCACAAGTGAGCCTATTATTCAAGAGTGGAGAATTTAATTTGGATGCAATCTGTTGTATCGAGGGTTTGAGACCAGACTGGCAAATCCTTTAATTAGGAATAAATTCTTTTATACGAGGAAAACTCAATATTTGGAAATTATTGTAGAAAAATTCTCAACTATTGGCCACCTACAGATGCCAAGTGAATACGAATTGCATCGAGCTGAAAATCCAAACTACCGAAGGCGAAAAGGGCATATTACAGGCCTACGTTTCGCCAGTTTTACAGCCCAAATGTAGCCGAATATTGCAGTTCGACCTCAAAGCCTTATCGTTACATTACAGAGTTAACGAGTACGACGACACAAATAGGCCTTATAGTGACCTTAAGTTGACTGGAACATTTTCGCTGGCCGAAATTCACAATTGGATTGGTCAGTGTTTGCCCGAAGTACCAGAAAAACCACAAATCAATGACGGTCAGTTATTTTTCCAGTCCAGCTTGGTTGATACTGTTTTAATTTGTGCTTACAAGTAAGATTCAGTATGATGTTATTTCTGTCCAAAATTATTATTTTTTTTTGCTAGGAAAGGTGAAGCTGAATTTAAATCAGACAACATTACGACACTGTGCATTTTAAAAGAAATCCTTAGCATAGAAGCTACAAAAAAGAAAACAAAAATCGACATAAGCTTAAGTGAGTGAATAACCAAACGTGAATTAAATATTATCATAAATTTCTAGACTTGAATGACGATTGTATCGATCACGTACTTAAAATCATTGAGCCTAAATTGTTTGAGCACCAAACGTGTCTCAGAGATAGAGAGCTGAATCAGGCTCTAAACGAATTGGACATAGCTGAAGAGGAGAATGTGAAATATCTTTCGGAAAGATACAGAGCGCTTTTGCTGAAGAATAAAGAGTTGGAGGAGCATTTCAGGAAGTATCCTGATTATTTAGAAAGGATTTACAGTAAGTTACTAAATGCTATCAGGAATAAATTATTCCTTATTCTCCCTTATTTTTTCTAGGTTCGATAATCGACTTATACATCAGTTACAATAAACTGAAAGGAATTCAAGCAGGAAGACATAAAATTAATCAAATAAGGATCAATTTGGAAAACAATTATTCCTACCACAATATAATAAGTATTTTTAAACCTGAAATAATAGATTGAAATGTAATACATATGAAGAGTTGTGTTTTATTTTGAGTCTGCTTCACTGGATTTTACAGACTGATGAAGGAAATGAAATCTTCATAAATTTTTCATCATCGCTTTCATGCTCAACGTGGAAATGTTTCCACATCCGAATTCGATGATCCTGGTAAAGCTTTACATAATGTTTTCCTAGACTGTATGAATAAATTCACTGCGCTTCAGACCGTCCTAATTTATAGACTTTTCAATTCAGAACATTCCTACACTTTCTATGGCAACGCAATTTTTGATTAATCGATATTATAGGTTAATAAATTCCTTCAAAATTCAAGTAAGGTTTTTAGACTTTGGTTTTAAAATTAGGACGAAAAATGAAAATAAGCTTTTGCACAGACTTGGATAAGAGCGTGGTGGTGGCGAATTGCGAAAAAAGAGGTTGGTTGCAAGTCGGACCCGAAGATGACTGGAACGTTTATTGGGCCGGAACCCAAACTTGTCGAAGCTTGTTCAGCGTCGATAGTGGATACAGGATGAACGATAATCAGTAATTATATGGATAATATTTACATGTTATTATATCGAGGTATTCCAGGATCATCAATCATTTTCCAAACCATTACGAAATCTCCAGAAAAGACTTGCTAGTCAAAAACATAAAACGTTACCGTCGAGACCTGGAAAAAGAAGGCAACATCATGGCCGAAAGGGGTGACTCCAAGTATCTTCATTTGGACTTCATTCCGGTCACTTTCGTGCTACCCGCAGACTACAACATGTTCGTGGAAGAGTACAGAAAAGCACCGCAAAGTACTTGGATAATGAAACCTTGCGGTAGATCTCAAGGTTCCGGGATATTTCTGATCAATAAACTGTCGAAGCTTAAACGATGGTCTAGGGAATCAAAAACTCCGTTTCAACAGCAATTGACCAAAGAAAGTTATGTTATATCAAAGTTAGTAGATTGATCCATAAATGATCCATTGGATGAAAAAAGTACTGGGTGACTCAGAGTATATCTACTTTTTTGAACGCGCCCTGTACATCCAAGTTAATATTTGTGCTGAGGCAATTTGCGGCGATTATGTGCTGATTATCAGTTAACATAGAGCAGTGGTCAAACGAGTAACGTTCATTTGCTAAAAAACCTTGTGTTCACAAGAGTGCTTTTTCTAACTAAATCTCCTATTGTTTTTCTTGACTATAGAGCTAATTTTTTCCAGGTACATCGACAATCCCCTATTAATAGGTGGCAAAAAATTTGATTTAAGATTATACGTCCTAGTAACCTCATTTCGTCCATTGAAAGCCTACCAATTCAAATTGGGATTCTGTCGTTTCTGTACCGTCAAATACGATTCCAGTGTGGCAGAGCTGGATAACATGTACGTGCATTTGACGAACGTTTCAGTGCAAAAACACGGAGTAAGAACTTCTATATTCCGTCAATTTGTGAGTGATTAATTTTTTTTCAGGGCGAATACAATTCGCTTCATGGAGGCAAAATGAGCGTCCAAAATTTGCGGCTCTACCTGGAAAGTACCCGAGGAAAACAAGTTACTGAAAAGCTGTTTGATCAAATTAGTTGGTTGATTATACACAGCCTCAAAGCAATCGCTCCGGTTATTTCGACGGATAGACATTGTTTCGAGTGTTACGGCTATGACATTATAATCGATAATAAGCTGAAGCCTTGGTTGATCGAAGTCAATGCTTCGCCGTCGCTAACATCCACAACGGCAAACGATAGAATTTTAAAGCACAAATTGTTGGATAATATTTTTAATATTGTCGTGCCTCCTACAGGGACACCCGAGTAAGAATTGACTTGGTAATTGGATAATTTTAGATAAGGCTTTTTTTAGTGTTCGGTGGAATAAGATTCCACTTCCTGAAGCCTTGGGCGATTTCGAGTTACTGATTGACGAGGATCTGGTAAGCCTGAATGAGAATGGTGAAAGTGGGTTTTCTAGGAATAATTCTAAATGGAAATAGTTTTGTACTTATAGACGGTTGCAGTCAGCATTATAAGAGATAACGTTTTGAAAAAAATAAATAAACTTTTAGGATAAATATTGTATTTTTTCAATGTAACATTTGCAGAAAATCTTCGGCTCAAAATCTTTGACATATTGTTGACTTTTTCAATATTTCCCGAATGGTCAATTGTTGAGATTTTACTTGAATAACCTCCGTAGCAAAATTTAGAATGAATATTTTCTAGAATTCTGAGTCACCACTTTGCAAACTTCCTGATTTTTCTTTAAAACTTCATGAATCTTGAATCCTTACAATGCGATCTTTCTGGCTCTTTTATTAAGGGGAAGATTACTTAGATCTTTGAATCCTGTCAGATTTTGAGGACTTTCATTGTGCATTGGTCTTTTGCAAATTTTCTTTTTTTCTTTCGAAAATCACCATTTAGACTGCCAAGAAAGGGGCGCACTGAAGTTCTCTGTTGGAGAACAATCAATGTTCAATTAAAATTATAAAGACATATATTTGATATTCTTTATATTATCTTAGTTCTCGAGTTTGCTTAGATTATCGTCGAAAAGTTTCTTTGTAACTTTCCCTCCTATCGTAGGACCCAAGCAGCAAAGGGTAGTTGAATCAACGTTAATTAAAGATTGATTGATGTCGTAGGCGTTGATATACCAAAAATCAACGTTGAATGGGCATTATGAAAACAACGTATTCGTCAACGTTTTCTAAGCAAAGTCTATTCAACGTTGAATATAGTTTGAAAAAAATAATTCGAGCCCATCGGTACCAAAGTATCTATCAAATCTAGACTAGGTATAGCAACTTTGAATAGTTATATCACTGGTTTTTCTCTGTTTGATTTAGCCCATCACTAGATGTTAAATAAACGTTGAATGGAGATTCAAAATGTTTTTTGAAATAAATATATGTACGTTATTAGTAAAATTTAAAATATCAATAAAAAACCAGATATTTATTATTAGGTCTCTTTCTGCAGAAATCACAAACCAGTCAGAGTGTATTTCATTGGTTGAAACTAGTTTTCTGACTGTTTCTGACTGTTTTCAACCAATGAAATTCGCTCTGACTGGTTTGTGATTTCTGCAGAAACAGACCTATTATAAATCTTTATGAATGCAGGTTTAATGTTTAAACCTCCAACATTCGACGTGAAATAATATTATATAAGTTCCCTAAAAGTAGATAAAGTGGTATCTCCATGCAAATTCATTCAAACTTCCCGCTAAGGTGCATCGTGTCCCGCCATTTGCCGACAGCGCCCTCTGAGTCCTGTGGCGTGGCCCAGCCCATCATTGCATTGGCGTCTGGCCGCTGGCGTCATCACGTTCATCGCGTCATTTTTCGTATTCACTCAGGTTTTTGTTGATTTTATTATTTTGTGTAAATTTAAAATTATTGAATGTGTAAAAGGTGTTATTATTTTTGTCATTGTGTGTTTATTAATGTGTCTAGCCTGGATTTAACTTCGATTGGTGGAAAATGGTGGTAGGCGGAAATAATTTCTCAAAATTATAGAAACCTTTTCATACTTTTCAATTCCTATTTAAGAGCAAGCCAGTTGAATTTTAACAATCCTCCAAATAATGTTTTATTTTGATCAAATTTGTTTGCTCTTACTGTTTCGATATATTAAATTTTGTGTCAAAGAGTTTGTGGTTTGTGTTTATTTAAAAAATTTGTGGAATAAAGTACCTATAACCTCAAACATTTTGGTGATTTTATTTTAATTGAAAACTGTTCTGACAAAGCCAGCTTTAGAACAAGTTTCATAAGACGCAATTTGATATAAAATGTCTTATGAAGCATGTTTTTTGTACTATTTTCTCTATTTCAAGTTGTAAATGAAGGTTGAGCTCAACCTCAGGCTTAACGTAAAATCTGACGTCTTAATAACATCTGGTCAAGGTTGTGATAACGGTTGAGTTCAACGTGAAATCTGACGTCTCGAATACATCTGATCAACGTTGTTATAAGATTGAGGCCAACAAAAAAAACGACGTTAATTCAACGGTCACATTCAACGTTGTCTCAATTATGACATTGTGCCGTCCTGTCAACGTACATTCAACTGTTGTTACAACGTAATGCAACGTTGGGAAGTATCGTACATTCAACGTTATATCGACCAAACCTTGCTGCATGGGGAGAGGGGGGGCTGTGACGCGCCAAAATTGCCTTTAACTATTTCATTATTATATTATTTTCAGTTTCCCATTAAAAACTCCTATAGATATTTATTTCTTCCCTCATTTTATTAGGCTTTATTTACATTTTTCCTTGATAAAAATTAAAAAATAATTACAGTAATTACAGATCATCTAAAGTTTTAAATTTTTTAAATTATTTTAATTCTATTTTCACTTGTGAGTAGTTCTTGTTGACGACTAATGATTTTCCTCGATTTTAATCAATATTTTATTTTCAGCTCCAAATAATTAATCTTCATGTAAAAAAATCAAATATTTCTTATTCTTGGGTTAGGTTTTCCAAATTGTGGTCCGTTCACGAAGTGTGTACTGCACGCTGCACGGACTCTGTATTTGTAACTAACCTTACCCATAAGGCAAAAGAACATGCTCGAGACTTTTCTAGTTTTAAAAGTGGTTGCAAGATAGATCTTAATTCGTTTAGTCTTGGTATCATTAATTGAGACACCTCGGACAATAATCTCATGAATGAGCATTTCCTTTTTTAGCAACGAGATAGTAATTTTGTAACCCATTTTGCCCAAGCAATCAATAGGTTATAATAAAGATAATTCAAAAATAGTCAAGCGACTCTCCCGCTTCACTAACACTGATTTAAAAAAAAGTTTAAAGATAGAAATTGGAATTTGATTCTATGCACTTGAAAAAAAATTATTAATTCGCATATCGGCATAGTTGTAAGGAAGTAAAATAAAAATGAATGAAAAGGTCTTTCAAAAAAAATAGCAGCCCCACGTTGGGCGCCAATTAATTTACCACACTTTTTCGGTGAAGGAAAGTTTTAAAGTAAAAAAAAATAAGTAAATAATCAAGATTACAGGACTCAATCTGATACCTACTGAGTTCAGTTACAAATACAGAGTATGTGCAGCGTGCAGTACACACTTCGTGAACGGAACACAATTTGGAAATGTTTACATGAAGATTATTTATTTGGAAATGGAAATAAAATATTGATTTAAATCGAGGAAAGTCATCAGTTGTCAACAAGAACTGCTCACAAGTGAAAATAGAATTGATATAATGAAGATTAGAAAATTTAAAGGATCTGCACTGTACCTTATTATTAATGAATTCTTATAAAGGAAAAATGTAAACAAAGCCTAATAAAATTGGGGAAAAATTAAATATCTATAGGCATTTTGAGTGGAAAACTGAAAATAAGTGTGAAATAGTCGAATGCCATTTTTGCGCGTTACAACCCCCCCCCCCTCTCCTACGAGAGGAGGGAAAGTTACAAAGAAACTTTTCCCACGGAAATTTCCTTCAGGTAATATTCAGGTGAAAATACATAAGGGTCTGGCAATTTTGGACCAATAGGAAGCGAATTACAGCGATAATTTTGCAAGAGTGCAAATTATCGATAGCTTGCACTAGTGCTAATGCCGATAATTTTTTTCCTGACTCAACGAGTTATTATCAGCTTTGGACGCAGTAAATTAGACACAAATTATTAACTTTCTCTACAGTAGATTAGACTGTTTCCAAATCGACGTTTGGTATCTCTTTGTATTGATCGGCGTAAGGTCTTCGATACTTTTATCAATATCAGTCGCTGAACTCTTCCCAAAACGAGCCATATAGGAAAAATGTAAACAAAGCCTAATAAAATCGGGGAAAAATTAATTATCTATAGAAATTGTGAATGGAAAACTGAAAATAAGTGTGAAATAGTTAAAGGCAATTCTGGCACGTTACAAGTTTCTGAATTCTGCACACCTTGAGAACTTGTTGCATGTTTGAAATATTGTCACAACCGCCTGTTTTATAGAGCTGTCTGTACAGAGGTGTATAGCAACTCCTCTGGACTCAAATCTCCCCACTGCCTGTACCTCCAGTTGGAAACGCCATTTTGGGTATTTTGAGCTTTATGGTTGTTCAGCGCCGGTACTTTTAGTTGGGAAAGGCACTGGGGAGACTTGAACCAGCGCCGGTAACTCTAGTTGGGAAAGTTCCTCTGTACTTAGTTTCCTCGCCCTTGTCTGTACCTCTATTTGGGAAAGCCACTCTGGGTATCTTCAGCATCATCGTTGTGCAGCTACAGTTGTGCAGCTAATAAATCGACACTCTCCGAAGCAGCGTTGACGTGTGGCCCCTTAGCGTTGGAAGGGTCACGCATCCTATATGGTTAGGATATACCTACATGTAAGGAAGGGACATATTGGATAAATATATATCTATCTACTTTTTATATTACTTGAGCGAGTTTCTCTCCCTTGTCGCCCCTGTAAAGGGTTGTGACAATATCTTGATTAAATTTGGAATTCTGATTGAGTAGGTAATTTACAAATTTCCCGCTTTTTCGCTAAAATTTCTCTCCTTTATCTGGAGCCATTACTTTGCAAATTTTATGGATCTTCAAGGAAAATATTCCCAGGCTATTTCTGGGATTTTCAAAGCACTTCGAGATCCTAAATTGTTCCTTTGCAAATTATTTCACTTTTCTTCGAGAAGACTGTAAATGTACATTACGATGAAAAACTTGAGAACTTGCATCTTTTAAAAATCTTTGGTATGTTTTGAATTCTGAGTCACTAATTTGCAAATTTCCGGATTCTTCGCTAAAATTTCTCTCAAGATCCTGAATCTTGAGTCAACAATAGAAACTACCCCTTCCAATGGAAACCTACATAAATTTTTCCTTATGATTTCTTCGAGACCTTCACCATCCTGTCCATATTTATCCATCCGAAACCTCAATTTATTACACAATCAAAGGAAAAGGGAATAGACAGTGTTATATACCGAAATTTTAACACGTTACAAATCCTCCCCTAACTCAAGACGATTGACTACTGTTAATCACATAGATAACCCGAAAAGAGACATCCCTAAGAATAATGATAAAACCAAACAACAATAATAACCTAAAATAGACCTTGGGACCCCGATGACCAAGCATAGTCTGTCTGAAACTATACAATATAGATGGCTGATCGACAACGTGTTTCTGCAAATTTCCTGGATTTCTAAGAAAATATTTCAAGCATATTGTCGTATCTAGGATAATAGGGCATCTCCCTTCGGTTAATTAAACGCAATCGTCATCCAAAAAAGTTTCATGGGTTTCAGGAAATTCATTGATCACGTCACGTTTAAATAACATTCGGGTGCAAGTTGAACGAGCTATTAAATTATATGAGGAACCTGAACCCATCGAAAGTCAATGTCAATATTCATAGGTATAAATATTTTTACCGAAGAAGAGGGGGTGTGTAACCAAGCTACATAATTTTTCGGGTATTTTAATGATTACTACTGCGTTTCTAAGTTAATTGCTTCGGTCGGATTAATTCTACATGATAATTAATTTGAATCATATTTTACGCGTGACCTTGTTTGAAACCGTACGATCCAATAGAACCGAACGCATCACGCATTCGTCCCGCATCGCAGTGTCTCGGATTTTCCCACTGCCGTTCCTACTTTTGACGTCCGACGACCGGTAATAAAAGGAGGCGCGCGGCCACAATTGGACACTTTTCTTCTTCTGTTCACAAGTACCAGCAGCCCAGACCACCGACCACCGAGGTAAGTCGCTGGCTTGGATTCCGCTCCGACGTCGTCAGCGCCGTCGCGACGCCTCAGTAAATCGTACGATCTGGGTGAGTGGAACTACTTTTTATACAGTGATGTACACGGACTGAATGGAGTTACGGACCTATTCTGTCTGTGACGGACAATGGGGGTTACGTGTTGGACCGCTTACAGGGTAGCACTTATTTTACCTATATCAATGTTTATTATCCAGTATTCTTCACTTCACACAGATCGTTTCTTTCGTGCATGATGCTCCTGCTATACAGGGGGATACACTGATTAAATGGGGTTACGTGCTGGACCGTTTACAGGGTGGCGCCAGAGCTTTCCGAAAACCCCTTAACCATCCAGAAAACCAAAGTAGCGCTACAAATTTGGCCTGGTTTTTCCGTCTCCACTGTTCAAAAGCTACCTAGTACACGTAGGCCCTTAACCACTATAATCCTAAAGGGTGGCGCCCGAGTTTTCCGAAAACCCCTAACTGTCCGGACAACCAAAGTAGTGCTACAAATTCTACTACCTAGTCTACTATCGACTTATTCAATACTCGTTTTCGGGAGGGGACTGTCCCCTCATTACTTGACTTGTTTTTGGTATCAGATGACAAGTATTACGTCTGTATACTCAATAGGTAAGACCAATCACGTTACTGTTGTGGCCACAACCCAGATGACCTTACTTCCAGTTGTCAAAGCTGTAAAAAGACACAAAAACCATTGGCAGGGAGACTACGACGCCATAAATCATTTTCTTGAGCAATGGGAACCAAACAACAGCACAACAATGTTAATTTTCTTGGAGCAGTGGACCATATATCAGAGCTTATGTGCCTGTTTAGCGTCAAATGGAGACCTTTAAAAAACCGTGGATTACTAGAGCTCATGTTAAATTGATAACCCAAAAAAGAAAAGCATGGCATTTATACAGAGTTTTTGGTGAGAATTGTGACCTACGGGCATATAATGTGCTAAAAGAACGAATCACCCAAACATTAAGAAATGCTCGGTCAACTTTTGAGAGCAGTCTCCTAGAGCAGGGTAATTGTTATATCCAGCCATCACGCACCGGGGTCACGGAATTAATATAAAATAATGATTTTTGGGAGGACGAGGACGATGAAAAAGTTACAATAAGGAACCACAGTATAAAGCACATACAGGACAAAGACACTAGGCAGTGACTCGAGGATTTATTGACAAAATATGACGATGTTTTTTCAAAAAGCCCAGATTACATGGACAGAACGGACCTTATTGAGCACGTTATTGACGTAGAGGATGCCAGTCCAATAATCGGAAGGGCGTATAGAATGTCCCAAAAAGAGAGAGAGCAAATCAAAGATACGCTGAAATATGCAATAATTCGACCTAGCATTCGGCATGGGACATGGGCAAGTCCGGTTCTGTTAGTTAAGAAAAAATCAGGCGAGAAAAGATTCTGCGTAGACCAATTTAACCAGACTTAATGATGCAACTAAGGCAAAATCGAATTGGCCTATACCGAACATTGACGATATTCTAACATATCTAGGGAACGCACGGTATTTTTCCTCCTTGGACGTGTTTAGTGGTTTTTGGCAAATTTAAATTAGAGAAGACTCGAAGAAATGTACAGAGTTTCAATGCCAGGGTCATGGATTATATGAATTTAATATACTATGCTTCGGCCTTTGTAATGCTCCCGCAATATTTCAGTCCTTGGTCAACGAGGGTTCACCGGTTATTGTTATAATCAGCGATCACGCACCGGGGTCGCGGAATTAATATAAAATAATGGTTTTTGGAAAATGAGAAGGTAGTCTACAGACTGAGAATTAACCGCGCTAGTGAGTCAGTAATAAGAGTGCCTTTTAGTCCTGTGATAATTATTAGTGCCCATACCCGTATCTGAAATGTATTTGTGGTTAGCTTTATTTTAAATACACTTACCTATTTTTGTACTTGACTCTAGTTTTGATTCTCACCCCCTCATAACTCCTAGGTCCGACAATATTTTTAGGATTTCTTAAGGACTTCGAGATCCAGAATTGTTCATTTACAAATTGCTTCAATTTTTTTCGAGAAGAATTTACTGATTTCAGCAAACCTTGAAAATTTTCGTAGATTTGGACTTCTGAGTCACTAATTTGCAAATTTCTTGATTCTTCTCTAGAAAGACTTACAAGATTCTGCTTCCTGCTTCTTCCGAGAGAAAACTTTTAGAATCCTTGGACTTTAAGCCCTCTAGGATCTTGAATGATCTTTTGCAAATGCTTTATTTTTCTTTGATAAGACTCTATGCACCTTAGTTGAGACTGATCATTTCAAGGCAGGATAAAAAAAAACCATAACAACATAATTATTTTTTATAAAAACAATGTTTATTAGAAAACATTTATAATGGCCAGGAGTAAAGGAATAAATATCTATACATTTGATCGTTTAGTTTTTTTTTAAAAAAACTGAAAGAAAAAACATTAGAAGATTAAAAAAATATTCGAGGAACAGCAACACCAGTCGATAATAATAATATGTTTGTTCCGGAGAGGAATCAGAACAAAAATCACTCAAAAAGATTCTTCTGATCCCTATCGGAACAGGCTTTTTATATAAACAGTTACCAGCAACTATTAGTAGTTGAATCATTATTTTTTCCGAGGCACAATCCGCATGGATTTTAAGATTTTATTTACACGATTGCGCACCCGTAAAAAATAAATCCTCAAGTAGATGACAACATATATAACACTTAATATGTAAATAAATATCATCAATACATACATCCTGGGTTTTTAAATGTCCAGTAAGTAATGAGTATCAATAACAAGGAGCACAATTACTTTCCAATACACTATGTGGCAGGCAGGGGTTCAGAGTGAAAAATATATTTTTTATTTATAAATTTTTTTTCTTTTTCAAGTCTTTTACTAACAAAAAAAAAATCAATTAAATAAGTGAGGTTACATTGTATAATACAAAATCGCAAGGTACATAGCAGATAAAAGACTTTTTTTTTATATTGGATCAAGATTTGTAGCTTCATAAGGGGGAGAGTTGAAAATATTCTGAGCGAAGCTCAGAAAACCTGCTTTACAATTTCAGTTTCTTGCACTTAGTTCAAGAGTTGTTTGATTGAAATATTGGGTCAGTAAAAATAAAGAATACCTCCCTTATGTGGTTACAAATTTTTTTGGCTTAATTTCCATCCAATCAGAATTCAACACTAATGCCGGCTCTACACCACCTTGAGGCACCTAATCCCGCTAAGTGCATGTGAAGCCGGTAGGTATTAAGAATTTCAAATAAGTATATCAGTCACAATGATATCATTTTTTATAAATTAAACATAAATCAAAGCAATACAACATATATTTTTTTTTGTATAATAATTAATTATGATTAATAATTAATAATTTTTATTCTCTCCCTATCTAAGATAAATTCGTTTTTTTAATTTTAAAATTATTAAAAAGTTAATAACTGGACTATATTTACATATGTTTTTTTATTTTTTTGATACCATTCACTATAAAGAGATTTATGCGTTTGCCTCTCCGCTCGTTTAGCACAAAAATAAAGAAATATTTCTAAAACTTAAGCCTTAAAACTCTAATAATTTACACATTTTTTTCGTTTTTGTCATAATATTTACAATAAAATAAACTTATTGTGTGTTTTCTATCTATGTTTTTAGCCTCATTCAACTAGAACCAAAACTATAATAAAATAAAATTCCAAATTCTTAAAAAATAATCAACAAAGTCATTTTAGAAATATTTCCTTCTTATAAAAAAAAAGTTCCCGGGCGTCCGGGCTATATTTTTCAATAAATCTAGAGCCGTGTATGTCTCTAAAAATTACCAAAAATTCCTAATATAATATACAAATTAATTTGTTTGATACACTTTGTGCGAACTATACAAATATTTATTTATAATATCAGTCAATATTTTTTTTTTTTTTTTTTAATATCCTCATTTTTATTCATTTCGTCGGACAGAGTGTGCCAAACCGGAAAAATCACATCGTACATAGGTAACAAATTGTAAATAAATAGTTATGTATTTATTTTTATTTAATTTTTTTGGTTTTAATAATTTTTTGGCATCTTGGAAATTACACAAATAGACCTTTGGTTTGGTATAAAATACTTACGAAAGTTATATCATAGAAAATGTGTTGGGAGGGTTTGAGAAAGGTTTGGATCTGATACAAAAGCATTAATTTTCTTAAAAACTAGAAAAAATAATTGAATTCCCAAGCAAAATTTCAAATATTTCCAAATGCAATAAAACGCTGTGCACCGTAATACAACAAATTATGGAAAAAACCTAAAAGATATGTATTTGTTTGTTGCTCTTCAAGTCAAAAATCCAATCGTTTCCCAACCCCTCTCCTAAAAAGGTATATAAGCTTTCTTAAGTTCTTTGGTACATCACACTTATTAATTGAATAAAATCTTACTTCAAAAAAACCTAATTCTGGCACTAGCATTCGCTCCAGGTCGACCACCAGGAGTCTGGACAGCTGCTCCCCACTTCGCGTTTTCGTCGTCCTTTTTTCGTTGCCTCGGTTTGTTTTTTCACGAATCGGATATTGTACGGGTCCTCGGCCAATTCCGGGTACTGTTGCACGTCGTGCACGTACTGACCTTCGTAGTTGTTGATGTAGCCGTTCTTCAGGAGTTCCTCGATTTCGGATTGGGACCAGTCGACGGTGCCGGAAAAGCCGTTTTTCGACGCTTCTTTTTCTTTGTGCCACGCCTTTCTTATTGCCGATAGTTTGGCGTGGTGCAGTAATCGTTGTTTTTCTTTTTCCATTGTCGTACCGTACCTGGAAAATACGGGTTTTTAGCAAAATTTTGTTCATTAACCCAGTTCAGCCCATAATCTAAATAATAAACATAAACATAGAATGACCTGTATATAGTTGTAGGTTAAATTGGGTATTTAGATGTCAAATCCTATTTGGGAATGGAAATTAATTCGTTTTTTTTTTCTTTATTTCTGTTTTCTCTTATTCTGATTGAGTTGCGCGTGCTCCATGCCTAAGAATTGACACGGCTTTGCTAAATTTGGCTTTTAAAAATGCGCGCGTTAAACACTGAAAAAGGATACCAGAAAAGTCCTTACACTGCCGGCAAGTAAATCAGTCGCCAAAAACGCTCCGCCCGCTTCGTATGGTTCAAGAAAATAGGCCCGCGGTTTTTCGTTTGCCGCGACCGGTTTAAATCAAGACGGTTTCGTTGCACTCCTACGCATTGGACTTGAACTTCCTGGAAGAGCTGGCCAGCTGAGTGGAGTTTGGAAGTAAAGCCAGGTAAGAGGGAAAAATATCCTTTTCCTACGAGCGTGCGCAAAGTAGTACTTTTCCGCACGCATTTCCGGGCTCAAAGTTACACTTTTCCGCACTCGGTGCGGATACAGGCCTTATCCGCACTGAGTGCCGAAAAGTAATTATAATTATCAAGCAACAATAAGTGCACCTGTCGACTTTGACACATGATGACAAATTTTTCCTGTTTCTATATCAGCCAACATCTATACAAACATCAAATATACATTAACTTTGACACATTGTCAGATTTGTTCTCTATATATTTATATGCAAAAATCTACAAACTTTCTCATCAAATTTAGATGCTTTAAGATGAACAGCTCTGACGAGGATTTTCTGTTATTTATGTTTTTTTGTTATGTAATTTTTGGATAAATGCATAGGTTCCCTTCAAGTTAATTAAAAATAATTAAACAAATTATCGTTTTTTTTTTTTTAATTTTTGTTATTACCTACGTGATATGAAGCTCGTAGGAAAAATTTTGTTCCTAACACGTGCGCAAAGTGTCTTTTCCGCACGCAAACACGTATCCGAACTCCGCTTCGCGTCGTTCGTATAACTGTGTTTGCGTGCGGAAAAGTAACACTTTGCGCACTTGTTAGGAAAATAACTATTTCAGATTCGATATTTTCGATTGCCATTCTCAAGCAACCTGTGGATTTTCCAGTTTTAATTTCGCACAAGTACTTTTATCCACTTTTCATATGGAAAACATACCAATCGATCAACAATATTTTTAGAACTTCTCGCTTTGGTTGGTTTTAACATCCCTTGTTCATTTTGCTCAGCAGCTTTTAATGAATTTAATATTCAAATATATCATCCTTGGCCTAGTACTATTGCTTTTCGCATAGACTGGTTTGGCCTGGGACAAACTAGTTTGGCCTAAGCCAAACCAGTCTATCTGAAGAGCAATACAATGAACCAGTTTGTCCTAGACCTGATGGACGATAACGTAGTGGAAATACAAACGGATCAAATGGTAGTAACGCATAAGTTTGAAAAACAATCCCAAAGTCGCGACCCCATAATATGGCAAGGAACGCCTGGTCTGGTATACAGACGACTCCAAAACAGCGGACGAAGCTGGCGCTGGCGTATACAGAGAGAGACCAAGATCAGAACAAAGCATCTCTCTGGGGCCACAGTTTACCAAACAGGCAGGCTGCTCTAAAGGCTCTGAACTCATGTCGATTTCTTTCGAGATAACGATGGAATGCCTAGACGACCTGTAAACTCTGGCGTGAAGGAATAACAGAATAAAGCTCCTGTGGGGTCCTGTGCGTTCGGGGAAAGATGGCGACGGAAAGGCTGACGAACTGGCCAGAGCGGGTAGAGCTGCAGCCTACACAAGACCAGAACCCGCATTTGGAATATCGAAACAGGTTGAAAAGACGGCAGTTGAAATGTGGTCGACCCATCAACACTCCGACTTTTGGCGTTCCACACCTGGAGCAAGACACTCGAAAAGGATAATTATTGGAGAACGTAAAGTCTGTCGATATTAATCTGATACTCCAAAGGAATGTGTGCTGGTGGCACCCAGCATCAGACCGTTGATGGTCACTTGACGTCACACCTGTTTTTGCCATATGCTTCACCCCCTCGCTCCTCATACAGAAAGCCGAACCTTTTGATCCAGAGAGCCGGGACTGTAATGTGGTTTGTTGGTTAAAGAAAATTGATCACCTTAGCGAGATTCATGACTGGACAGAGTATGAACGGGCCTACTTCATGCAGGCTAAGTTGCAAGGCACTGCAAGAGCCTGATTTAACAGGTTGGACGATTACAATTTGTCATGGCAGGCGTGAAAGGTGTCCCTTAGCAAGGCGTTTCCAAGGAAGCACGACTACGCCGAATTGTTACCGGAGATACTGGCGAGAGTCAAGGTGACAGGCGAGACCATGACTCACTATTACCATGATAAAATGGCGTTGATTGAAACATGTGAACTAGTCGGCACAAAGGCGTTATCGTGTCTGATTAGGGGACTACCTCTCGACCTACAAGCGAATTCTAGGGCATTTCAGTACTACTACTACTGGCGAACTGTATGCTGGTTTCCTCTCTTCTTTTGACAGGTATCAACAAACCTCAACCAGTGGCGGCAATGGCGACCTGAAAAAGCAAGTGACGTGGCAGGTACCTTCCAAAGTGACGAGGCGACCAGAGAGGGAGACATCAACGGCGACAACGGGGATCCGATGCTTTAATTTCCAGGAGGTGGGCAATCACATGAGCAAGGATTGTCCCAAGCCTAAGGCGGAGAGGTATATGCGGTGTAGCAAAACAGGGCATGATCGGTTCAGTGGTCCCAGGCGAAGTGGAGTTGGCAATAAACGACATGGTAACAAGGCGGAACATGGGCGAAGTCACTATCAGGTAAGACTTATCGATGTGGTGGATAACACTTATAAAAATAGGCGATTATGCAAGATGGGCGTCAATCAAGGCGTATATTCATACTGACAGTGAGCAAAACATTATTCGGCGAGAATGTTTTTAAACTCTTGGCGATTACCAGATTAACCCATCTAGTGCTGAAAGGTTTTGGCGGAGCTATGTGTACAGTGAAAGGCGAGGTGACGTTGCCTCTCACTGTGGACAAGGTTTCGTTGGTGGTCAAGGCGTTGAATGCCGATTGTGAACTTGCTGGCGCTGATATCCTTTTAGGGCAATCGGCGTTAGCAACAGAAGGCGTGGTGCTGACAGTGCATGAAGTCAAGGCGCAGCTGACTAGAACTGAGAAGGAGAAGGCGGAGGATTTCATTCAGAATATCACCCTGGACGATGGGCGATGATGAGATTGAGGCGCAGGTTACAGAGAAAGTACTGGCGTTAGAGGATGTCACTGTATCTCCAGGCGAGGAGAGTGACATACTCATTGTAGTTGAGGGACTGAACCAAGGCGAAAAGGGCTATATACCTGCAAGTCGGTACGAGCGAAATGGTGCAGTTGTGGCGATAGGTAACCATGTACTTGAAGGCGGACATTCTGACAGATTGATGGTGTGTAATCTGGGACACAGGCCAGTACAGTGAACTGGACAGGTGGTGGCGAGAGCCGTGAAGATGAGTGTGGCGAAACCAAAGAAACAAGGCAAGGTAAGTTCAACTATGTTTGCTATCCATGGTATGCTTGATTTTTCATGTATTCAAGTAGGCGATATTGGTGAAACTAATTTGTTTAAGTTGCATGATTTGTTGAACAGAATGGCGATAGGTTTTTCGACTGGTGAGAATGATTTGGGCGTGACTGATTTGGGCGAAATAAGAATTCAGGTGATAACTGATAAGCCAGTGGTCTATAGGCCTTATCATTTATCATTTACTGAGAGGGCGTTAGTAAGAGTGAAGGTGCAAAATTTATTGGAGTCGGCGTTTGCAAGTACAATTGTACTGATACCGAAGAAAAATGGAGATGTTCGTATGTGTGTAGATTACAGGGCGTTGAATGCCATTACAGTGAAGGATCGATCTCCTTTGCCTCGGATTAAGGACCAATCGGACTGACTGGTGGGCAAGTGCTACTACACTACTGGCGACGGATTCTCTGTCCAAAACGGCGTTTGTATTTCCTGATGGATATTACGAGTACTTGAGGGTGCCTTTCGGATTGGCGAATGCTCCGGCAGTTTTTCAGAGGGTGATAAATCGAATGCTGAAGGGCATGCAGAATAATTTTGTGTTGGCGCACATGGATGATCTTCTCATACCTTCATCTTCTATTTCTGATGGATTGGCGTTGTTGGAAAGGGTCCTGCGGTGGCGGAGGCTAATTTGAAATTGAATCTGGCGAAGTGCATTTTTCTGAAGGATAAGTTGGAGTATTTGGTACATGAGGTGAGTGCAGGCATTCGTCCAGGTGAAAGGAAAGTTCAGGCGGTGTAAGATTTTTCTGTTCCGGTTGATGTGCATGAAATTAGACATTTTATTGGTCTGGCGAGTGATTATAGAAAGTTTGTCAAGAATTTTGCTGTAGTTGCTAGGCCATTGACGAACTTAACTAAAAAAGATGTTCCATGGCGATGGGGTGCAGAGGAGCAGAGTGCATTTGATCAATTGAAGGCGGCTTTAGTTGAGAGACCAATATTGGCGTTATAATAGTGGGGCGGAGACAGAACCACATACCTACAGATGCGAGTAAGCTAGGCGTGGTGGGTATTCCTTTGCAGAAATAGTCGGATAGCAGTTTGAAGCCAGTCTTTTACTACAATAGGGCGACAACGATGGCTGAGCAAGCGTGGCATTGTTATGAACTCGAAACTTTGGCGATAGTAGAGTCTGTTTTCGAGTGTTTGATGGGCGTTCATTTCAAGGTGGTGACAGATTGTTCAGCTGTCAGGGCGACAATGGCGAAAAAGGATCATCTGCCTAGGATAGCTAGGTGGTGGATGGCGTTACAAGAGTATAATCTGTCTGTGGAGTATAGAATGGGTCATAAGATGCAACATGTTGACGCACTCAGTAGGAATCCGGTGAATGTTTGCTTAGTGAAAATGACTGAAGGCGATTGGTTTCTGACGAAAATGCGCAGGCGTTAACAAATTGTTTAGCTGAGGGAACAGCAGACAAAGATGTGAAATATGTGTACAAGTTGGCAAATGGGCGTTTGTATAGAAAAACATTACTTGGCGATCGTACCTTCTATGGCGAGATTTGGGTTGGTACTCAAGCATCATGATGACATAGGTGATCCAGGCGCTGACAGGTGTTTAGGCTTGCTCAAGCAAACGTATTGGTTTCCGAAGATAGGGTGTTTTGTTAGGAAATATGTTAAGGACTGCATGAACTGTGCCTTTGGCAAAGGTAGTCTTGGCGGGCGCCTGGTCTGTTGCATCCGATAGAAAAGGTGGCGATACCTTTTCATACCGTGCACATAGATCATGTAGGCCCCTTCTGCCGAAGTCGAAAGAGCAATGAGTATGTGCTCATGGTGGTTGACGAATTTACTAAGTATACTCTGGCGAAGCCAACAAAGACTTTGAGGTCTTCAGAGGCTATTCTCAAATTGAGAGAGTGTTTGGCGAATTTGGGTACCCAAGGCGTATTATTTCCGACCGCCAATTGGCGTTCACAAGCAAGGCGTTTGCTGACTTTCTGGCGATGCGAGGTGTAAAACATGTGTTGAATGCAATTGCCACATCGAGGGCGAATGGTCAGGTGGAAAGACAGAATCGAACATTGCTCAATGCAATAGAGGAGAGTGCTGAGTCAGAGTTTGATTGGCACGCTAAGCTGTCTGACATTGTGTGGGGATTAATCATACTCTGAATCAGAGCACTGGATTTTCCCCGGTTCAGTTGCTCTCTGCACATAATGATAGCGTGAATGCGAATCTGTCTGGTGATGTACAGGTGGCGAATGCACAAGCAGCTGAAGGAGAATCTTATGATGATATAAGGGCTCTAAATGAAAGGCGTGAAAAGGCTAGTGAAAACCGGGGCGTAAAATGAAGGCGTTATACGATCGTAGACGAAAAACAGTAGGCGCGGGCGACACTTACAAGGTGGGTCACTTAGTATTATGGCGACAAGCGGGAACTTGTTCAGGGGAAAAAGGTGTTAATAGAAAAATTATGAATAAGTAAGATGGTCCATATCGAGTTTCCAAGGTGATAGTAGTATGCGAGGGTATAAATCTTTTAAGGCGTTAGGGGCGATTGATTCTTTGAGGCGTTACAGTAGTACTGCACCTGGTGAGGATGCAAGCAGTAACTCTCAGAGTGATGGCGAAAATGTAGATCGGCAGGATCTGATCGATTTACTCGAGAGTTGAATTATTAATGAGGACATTAATTTTGCAGAATGGCGGAATAAATTTGAAAACCTTGAAAGACGTGTACAAGGTATAGGCAACCAGGCGGGCAAGCCACGAGCGCTATGGTAGTGCGAGAAGGAGAGAGAGGTGGTACGGCGGACACACAGGACGACAGGAGGACACAGATGCTGCGGCGTGCGAGAGCAAAGGGTGATATTTTGTTTTCCAGTGATATTTTCGATATGTTCGATGTTTCGATTATGTGATTTTTTGAAATAAAGGCGATTTAGATAAAACTAGCGTTTTACAATATGTTTCAACCGATAATAGCTGTCACGAAGAAATTGTCCTTCACTTGGATCAACTTGGATCTGACATCGCTGGTTTGTAGTCTCCGCATTGGCTGAACACGATTAGTGAGCTACCAAAATTCTTACCTCAAATTAATCACAACATTCGACCCATGTATCTTGACATCGAAGTAATTGTTCCCGCTGCCATTCTCACGCACGTTCTCGTGAAATGTCGTATTGACTTGGCCCTGAAGCCTCTTCAATTGCGCCTTGTCGTCGTTGATCTTCCACGAATCTTTTTTGATGAAATAGAAAGCGTCCTGCTGGTTGCTGTGTACTACGAAATAAAAGGGCAGCAAAAACGATCGGTTAAAAACTGACGTGTAGACGTCGCTGTAGATCGGATTGGCAGCTGGGACGCTCGACACTATCGCTTCTCCTGCGTCGGACTTTGAAACAAGAATACCTAAAAAATATTTCAATAATAATAACACACTAAGACTAATAATTGAATATGGTACCTCTTCCAAATGGTGGATCAGAAGAAGCTCCGATTTTCCTCGGAACCAAATCAATCACGTCAGTTTTCAATGCGGACTTCGAATAAACGCTCAACTGTTTGGCACTTTCCATCCTCCTAGCGTTGATGTGAGCCAAAAAGCCCGACTCAGCTTCGGTGGCTCTGGCCGCAGTGATCAACTGACTGGTAAGGACTCCTTCAAGCTTCCAAGAGAATTTGTTACTCAGCGACGGAGGCATTGGACCACCAGGAAGGTCGTCCATGAACAATTGAGGCGCGAGACTTTTAAGATTGACACCGATTTTTTTCAGCCACTCGATGTGATCTACAGAAGAAATATAATTGATTCAATATAGCCTTGGTAGATTTTCCTCTTTACCTTTTGGTATTTCTCTGTCTACTCCCATATTAATAGGATCGTTTCCATTAAACCTATACAAATGCAATTGCGTAGGTGTAGCAACTCGTTCCAAGACATTTTCCCACAACGGAGACATCCATTGACCAATCAGCGGATCGTACACTTTGCCATTAGGCATGTGAACCAGTGACGTTACCTAAAAAAAAATTTTAGATTTTCCTATACAAACCAAATAATTCTTACTTGGTCTAAAATCCCTCCACAAAAATCGATCGGCAAATACAAATAGGGATTTGAATCGTAGACGATGTGTCCATAAGGCGACCTCATAATCTCCCTAATGGCTTCGCCGTACTGATTGAAAATCATTACAGGTGTTCCGCATTGGTCGGTAGCAATGTAGTATTTGTGTCTGTAGACTTGGGCGTAGATAAGATGGCCTCTGTTGTCGTAGACCAGGGACATAAGCTTGCCATCTCTTGGTGAGTAGATTTGACTCACTTCGCGAGAACGTTCGTCGTTGTTGTAGAAGAATTGAGTGACGTTGCCGAAATTGTCTTTTCGCACTAACAATCTGTCCATGTGGTCGTAAAAATATCTAACATCAAAACGGCCTCGTTTGGTAGCCCTCGTTAATAGCCCTTTAGAGTTGTAATGGAACTTTTCCTCTCTGGCATTTTGCACTACCAATCCTCTGCTGTCGTATTTGTACTGTCCCTCGCCGAACTTAATTATCCTGTCCATGCTGTTGTATTCCATTGGAATTGTATTGCCCCTGGAATAAGTTCTGTTTGAGTGATCAAAAATTTCATAAAGTGAAATAATATACCTGTAGGTTAAGGAAAGCATGTTTCCATTATCGTCGTATCTAAAGCCCCACGGTTCTTGAGCCTCGACGCCTAAAAGTTGTCCGTCGCAGTCCCAAGTGTAGTTTTTGATGTTGGTGTACGTGTTTACGCCGACGTTTTTTGTATAGGTACGCGTTTGGGCGATTCGACTATGGAAAGAAAATTGATTTTAAATCAAAGTCTAAGAGCCTCCGGAGACAACAATTTGCTGTCTGCAAATTAGAAAAGTAGATAACAGTAGCTGTTCTTGGAACAGTTTGTACAAGTATTTTTTTTTCCCCATTGATAGGTAAAAAACTCACTTCACATATTTAACTAATTTACTTAATTATGACTTGGCTGTCGTAGCCTTGAAGATCTTGGAAGACAAGAGGAACTGTGAATAATTTACGAAATTCTGAATTGCAACTTAAATGGGCGAATCCTCAGTAAAATGAATATAGTCATTAACAATTTTACTATCATTGATATTTACCCATGAAAATCATGATTAAATTCCATCCTAAACACCTCCATGCCGTGAATAGTTAACGCTACTCTAGACTCCAAAAACCTAGAATTTTGTACACTCGAAAATAGAGCCGTGCCGTCATAAACTTGAGTCTCGTTGGCCTTCAACTTGATAATCTACAAAATTAATTTAGGACTAGAGCTCATTCAATTATAAAGTTACTACCTTAAAAGGTCCAATCTGTTCGGCAGCTCCAGTCTTAAAATTATAAGCCAGTCCGTACAAAGGTAAATTCTGCCCGCCAATTCGTCCCTGTAAGTTTACTAATCTGTAGTTATTGTCATAGTCATAAGTGAATTTAGCGTTGCTCAGGCCCGTCTTGGCCCCAAAACTGATGCGTTCTTCGGTCAGCAAACCGCCAACGTATTGGTAGTCCCATTGATATTCCAAGTCCTTCTCCACGTGACTCACTTGGCTGGGTAGTCCTGTGGTTTCAGAGTAAATGCACAGCGTTTTACCGTCACCATGAACAACCTCCTTGAGTTTACCGCTGTCATAATACCGATAAACGATTCTGACACCTTCACCAGGAAAAACTGTTTGCAACAGTCTGCCGGAATTTGTAAAGTGTTGCAGATAAGATCTGGTGCTTCCTGGCGGTGTGTAGACTACTCTGATTATGCCTGATGCATAAAAAATAAATAATAAGCACCCATTTGTATAAATAATAATACTTATTACCTAACGAAGGTTGTAATGAAAATGAATGCTTTGTTCCGCTAGGCAAAGTCACGTGCCTGAGTCCGCCATTGTCGTCATAAGTCAACAGAAAGTTCCTTTGACTTGCCAACGTGATTTTCGTGAGCATATTCGTTTCGTCGTAGGTAAATATTTGGATACCGTCCTGCGGACTGGTCAGCTCCGACAAAAGCCCGTGCCGGTCGTAGCTGAACTTTAGTTGAGAATCGCCCCATTTCCAACTGGAAACAAATACGGTTTTGTTTGAATATGGGTTTAGGATCGTGGCTTTGTTTTAGTTTTGAAAGGAGGATTTTTGAATAAACATTATATGGCGTGTAAGGAGTTTTTTACAAACTGTTCATTCATTAATTCGAAGATTCTGACCAGTAAGTTTGGTAAATTTTCTTTGCGAAATCATAATTTTAGAATGAAGTAGATATACAATATTTTTGAAAAATATTTACCCATCAATCCTATTGAAGCTATCATAAGTAATATTCAAAACATCAGCTCCATTATACGGCGTATAAGTAAGCGGCAACCCAGCAGGATCGTAAGTAATCGTTAGCAATGGCAACTTTTCGTAATCGAAAAACGTCTCTTTGCTCGTAAACTGATCGAACTCGATTCCCAAAACTTTAGTGCGGTTCACGTTGATTTCTCTGTAGAGGGTTTGTTGCGGGTTGCGCACGTCCCCTACCAAACTGAACGACGTCGACATGGTGTTGTGTAGAGCGTCTCCGAAGGTTGTGGTTTGTCTGGACCACACTGGCAGCAGTTCAGCTTCGATGGGGAGCGAGGCTTCTAGAAGAGGATGGCGTTCGATGGCGCAGATTTCAAGTTGAGTTTCCGAGGCCGTTTTCAGGGTTACGGTGGAGTTGGTAAGGGTTGCGGCTTTTGTTATTGCGACACCTAGAATATGGAGATTGATACAAAGCATTCTATCTAATTATCTCGAAATCTAACCCCTTTGAAGTTTTCATTTCCATTCAAGAATGTATAGAAAAATCATCCAGCAGAAGAAGGAAGTTTGTGTAAATCCAAGGTTGTGTGAGGAAGGCACTTACATTAAGGAAAGTGTAAAGGAAGTCATGGAAGTTTTGAGAAAGTTTCAGATAATACGAGGAAGGCAACTATCTAGGAAGTCTGCAGAAGTTTGAATACGATCGTTGAGGAAGTGCAGAAAATCTAGGAGTTTGTGAAAAATCCGGGGAATAGAAGATTTTTTGTTGAATTTTCTTTAGATTTTACACTCAACCAAAGAGGACAGTTATTCCATTATAGCAATTCTTGATAATTTACGTAATACTTGTTTCTCAAGTAGTATCGATATAAAATCTGCGGTTTGGCAAGTTGCGCATAGCACATGAGTTTACTGCCTTTGCTGTGATCTGGAAGGAGACTATCTATGTCATGCCCCAGCATCTTGAAAACGCGTCGTGGATAATGCTAATGTGAGTTTTCAAAACCTTTGCCTAAGGAAGTGCAAAAGATGTGAGTGAAGGTGCAACATCGGTTCTAGCACAAAATCAGTCATTTTCCCATGTCAATCTCCATAAGGAAATCTAAGGTCCGTTCTGGCAATTTTCGTACCATTTGGAGTAGTGGTAAAATTTCCAGGAATAAGCCCCACCCCCTTTCCAGTGCCTGTGCCTTTCATCGATCACTGGAAAGGGGGTGGGGCTTATTCCTGGAAATTTCACCCCCACGTCAAAATGGTACGAAAATTGCCAAAACGGACCTTGGATTTTCTTATGGAGATTTACATGGGAAAATGACTGACTTTGTGCTAGAACCGGTGTTGCATCTTTACTAACAGGAAAATATTAGTGGCGTACACTCGATCGACGTACGAATGGGAAACCATACAAAAATATACAAAACTGTATGATTATGAAAAATTTTACATAGGATTGAATTCATACTAACATGGAAAGGTTGAGGGGGTAGTCAGAAATAGGAAAATACCAGTGGCCTACATTCGATCGACCTACGAATGGAGAACCATACGAAAATATACAAAACAGTATGATTATCCAAAAACTGTTTCCAAGTACAAGATGGCTTATAAGTCAACGCACTTGACTTTCACGAGTGGTCGCAGGTTCGATCCTCGGAAACAGCAGACTTTTTTTAATACAGAAATTATTTCGAGTGACTGACATCGACGACGACGAGGATGACGACATGATGGCGAAACGACGATTCTATTATTAGTTACGTCATCATCAGTACGAGGTACCTTGAATGGGGAACCAAGTCACGAAGTGCTATATGGGTTCGATGAGCCGCTTAGGGCCAGGTACGGCCAATGACCCTGAAGCAGCGGCGACTAATTAGCTAGTGCGATCGATGAAAGACACGGGCATTGGAAAAGGTGTGGGACTTATTCCTGGAAATTTCACCCCCACTCCCTTCGACCATTGAAAAATCTCCCTCTCTAGACCAATAACGTTAATAATTTGCTATAGAATTTGTTTGGCTCCTGAATGAGACCAGGCCCTCTCTCTCGTACTTATAAAAATATAATGTTTATGAACCAGTCTGTTTATGTTTTGATCATCAGGGGGCTGCGTTCGAGAACTTGGTTGTTGCAGTGGAAATTATTTCAGGGGGTGCATCCTCAAAATAGCAGCTTTAATTTTACTCTAGTCGGGACTAGAGAGTTCGGTGCGCGCATCAGTACGCGTCAACCACTCTTCAGAACCGAAACACTTCGCCTTTCCGAACGGCACCTGTGTGATTTTTATACGACACACCATATTCTCGAACGCAACCCAGCTGATCTGCCACAAGAAAGGAGAGAAAACAAAACAATTACTACGTTATTGCCAAACTGTAAAAGCTTTCTTTAGAAGCAGGTAGGTAGTTCTATTTGAAACCAAATGGAGTGGTGATAAAGGGTAGTTAGAATCATTTTAGATATAGATTTAAAACGTCCCAAATATATTTTAAATCGATTATAAGCAGAAAAATTTGAAATAGATCCTTTTCATTAAATGACGATATTCATTATTATTCGAGAAAAAAAAAATCGGCAAATTACCCCTCTGACCCCGCTACTTCATTAGGGAGCCAAACAAATATGCTTGTTGATCCCTCTAGCAGTTTAAAGCTCGATGCCCACTCCAAAATGGTACGAAAATTGCCAGAACGGACCTTAGATTTTCTTATGGAGATTTACATGGGAAAATGACAGATTTTGTGCTAGAACCGGTGTTGCATCTTTACTGATGTACGGAAAATTTCGAAAAAGTTTGTGGGGGAGTACAAGAAGGCAAATCTAAGGATGTCTGAGAGTGTTAGTAGAAATTGGATCATAGAGGGAATCATCAAGAAAATTCGTGAAGTTTCCATGTAAAATTTGGGAAAAGGGTAATTTTCACTTTCACCAAACAAATTGCAGTCAAACCAGGTGAAGTTGTAAACAAATATAGGAAGAGTTTCCATGAAAATTGTGTCAATACGAGAAAGTACAAGAGAAGCAAGCGAAAATATTCAAAAATTCATCATCAAATAATTGCCGGTGACACTCTAAAAGTTATATCATGTATACATGTACATTCAGGCTAATTTATCACGGAACTCCTTCCATTAATATTTATTGTTCTAGGGGAAGATTCGAAATTTGAATTTCAAATAATCATTAATCATCTATTAATTAATTATTGCAACGTTTGCGTGTAATTTGTTGCATGATTGAAATTATTACGGCACCCTCATCAAACAAATTTAAAGATTGATTGTTGTTGCAATATGGAAATTTTTTAAATACTTCAAGTTGCGATTCCTCAATAACAAATACTCACCATCAATTAAAATAACTTGTTTGTTCGCCTTCCCATTAATATTCAATACAGTCGGTGGTCGATTGACGGAGACCTCTAAGCCATCCACATTTGACATTTTCGAATTTAATTGTAATGTTTCTCCGCTGGGCAAAATCACGCTTGTGGCTCGACCCAGGCTCGAGTATTGGTAAATAATTGTATCGCCTCCCTACAGACAAAAACAATTTATTATTAGATTCATAAAATTAGGGCACTCAACTAAAGATGTTTTGAAATTGAAACCAATTTAGATCTAACTCGAATAGCAGACTTTTGACAAATCAAAAATTTAGCAATTCTTCTGAACTTAAAATTAGGTTTACTCTTTGTAACTTTGTTCCAAAACTCCTCCAATTTCTATCGCCCCTCTAACTATATTACGGAAATTAGGTTACACGAACTCATTCCAAAGTCCGGCAAGCGAAGGCCACTAATTATTTGACGCCCCTAAGCTGCACTTTGCACTTAAACTACTTACTCTCTGCACTGTGCACTTACCCCGCTACGGCTCAACAATAGGCCAGTGTTCTGGTCGTAATCCAATTCGATCTCGGTCCGGCCCTTCTCACTCAGTTTCGACAAATAACCCATACCGGACATCTTCAGTTCGGACTTGTGGTCTTGGGTGTTTTCTATCGAACTAACTGCATTCGAATAATCCCTATAAAAGTATTTAGACATTAAAGAGTCTTATGCATGAGTTAATTTTACCTCAAAAATTGTATTTTATTCCCAGAACTATCGGTGACCGTTGACAGTTTACCAAAGCTCGTATTTTTCGAATACAGAAACGAGTAGCGGGTTTTGTCGCTGGCCAAATCTTTGGTGGCCACATGTTGGCCATAGCGATTGAAAACGTAAACCTCCCCCGATGAAGGATAAGGGATTCGAAACTCTCCATTCTCGTCATGGGTGGGTAGATAATGTTCCAGTGCGAGAATATGCAGTGAACCTAAAAATTAGTTTTGGTTAATGCCACATATTCTATCCTCGTAGCTCCTCACCTTGATCGGCGACATACAAAACACCGCCAGGCGAAACCCCGATAGCTGAAATTGCTTGAAAAACGGCATTAGACGACAATAAAGTTTCGGCATTATTTGTGGTGTCATCACCAGGCGACGAGCAAGAACATTCGGGCGCGGGCGGCAGGACTACGTCCCTGTTGTTTCTAATAGGGTTGGCGGTAGTTGCGTTCACGGCACATTGACATTTTCCCGTTTTGCCCGTTTGGAGTTTGCCGGCGAAATGGGTGATTTTCCCTGCGGTATCTATGAGCCGCACGTAATAAGTGTTGCGTGTGTCCGATTCGGCAATGAAAAGGTCGCCGGTAGGGTTGAATGCTAGAGCTAAGACTGTACCTGATGGAATAAGAAGTTCTTCGATTAAATATCAACCAATTTCTGCGAATAAATGAGAGAGTTGTGGGCCCAGTGTCGTATAGTATGTAACGTGTAAAGTTACTTGTTCTTTTTTTTTAATTTAAATTTATATAAACCTGTTTAATGTTGACAGTCTGGTGATTAATATTTGAAATACAGGGTTCCTGCTACTCATAATGTTAATTGAATTATTACACTAGAGGGCACGATTTTCGTTCAAATTTGACGTACTGGTTAGTACCAACATTTTCCTTTGAGAGGAAGCGCTGTATGCTCATCTTATCTACAGTGGCTAAATAAACCTTTACATACAGTGGCGACAATAGAGTTCCCGCCGCCATCTTGTTCCCACCTTCTTGTTACTTTCAAATATTAATATATAAGATTTAAATAGACATCTATCATAAAAAATTAAAATCGGCATATTTGATGACCATTATTAGGTTCATCAAATACGTTGTTTTCCATGTTTTATGATGGATGTTCACCTAAATCCTATATATTCATATTTAAAAGTAACAAGAGGTTGGGAACAAGATGGCGGCATTTTCAATATAAACATATGGGATTTTTGAACCAATCAAAAATGAGACCGCAATTGTCGCCACTGTGGTAATAAAGTCACTGTAATCTTATCTAATTCAATTCTCTTCCTTTTCGAATTGTGTCGTCGAGCTGCAAAGTCGATCGGCCATCTTCTCGAGACAACCGTGCCGTGGAAAAATAAACTACCTTATCGGCCTTCAGGCATTATCGTAACGAAATAAAGTTGCGCTCCTCGTGGTAATTTTTTTCAATTTCTTTTTAAGTAATAGCTTTTCAAGGAATGCCTTATTACTTAGGGTCTTTTGGAGAACCGTTTCTCTCAACAAGTCCATTCCAAAAAGGCCCCATTTTCAAATTAACACCATTTCCGTGGAGTGTGGCATAGAGCTTTGGAAGGGATTCCTACCCTACAAGAATCAAGACCCTCACAAGTCGATACGTGTGCCCCACATTTGACGACAATTCTAGTCCCTTATCTGCATGGATTCTGGGCTGGAATCCGCAAGATCCATGTGCGGTTCCCTTCGTCAAGTGACCGAGGATGGATGGCTTCCGTGCTCTACCTTATGTTGGAATGGAGGCTTGTATCAAGTTTTACTTATAACATTTAATACCTTTTCTTCTATAAAATCAGTTTTATAGTCAATTAACAAAATTAAGATAACTTCTTTCATATGATTTTCAAGCAACATTTAAGATGATTCTTGACATGATGGTGGAAAATTAGCTTCCGATTTATCAATTTATTATGGATTTGTCTTAGCATAACTTTCAATATTGCCTTATATTTTATCAATAATAATCGATAAGTAACCTTAACAAGGGTCAGGGTTAGACAACATGTTCTAAATTTAAAATAGAGTAATAGCCTGCCGTCAAAAATTGATCAATTTTTAACCCGAGCTCATATAACTTATACATTAGTGGATTTCCCTTATGTCTCCAGACCATTTAACCGTTATATAACCCAACTTTCGATTCTTTTTCACAGGTACAATAGTATATTACATAACGAGGTGGGAAGTGTTTCATTACTGTCGAGAGATTAGTTATAATGAAACTTCCTACCGAGGTTTGTATACTATTTTATTTACAACAATTACAACCATTACAATTTTTGACTGAATGCTAAATAAAAATTAAAAAATGTTGTTGACAAGTTCTGACTTATCTAAAAAAAAGTTTGACATGCAGAGGACTTGTGGACTTGTGTTTAACATTTTAGGAAATGAGGGCTTACTTTACAGCCGGGTGGAAAGTGAGCACTTTCCACCCGGGAGGATAAAATTCAAAAAAGTTTTACTTTGAAACTTTTGAAAAGTCAGAAATGTCAACATTATATATGTGGTTGTGAATGAATTGAATTTTTGAATTTTTTTTTTTTTTTGCAGAAGCTGACCATATTAATTAATAAAATTTCTCAATCATTCAATTTTTTTTAAATAGTTTTCTGGAAACTTAAATCTTTATATTTTCCTTTCAAATTGACGCCATATCATCAAGCGACTGTTAGTGAACTTATAAGGCATTGAGGTGCATTGTTTTTGTACTATTATTTTCTAGGTATGTTTCCGAATTTTCACCCTTTCATATTTTAAGCAATTTTATTATTATTATTATTATTTTTTTAAATTCAGTGTCGTCCTTGCCATTCTGTACTGATTAAACTATCAACCCACACCTAATAATTTTTCGCTGAGCAAACCGAGCATATTATGGGCCTCTTGTTAATTCATTAACCCCTTTTACAAGTAATGAGAGTTGTTGCGAAAAAATCCACTTACCCAATTCATTATCCTGTCCAATCGTAGTATTATCGGAATTATGACAGTGCAGTGGCGTACCGGCGACGACGGAAACTTTCATTTCCGGCGTTAGTTTCAAGATGAGCCGATCGTCTATGAAATGAACGGCGCCATCTAGAGGACTGAGCGCCAGACCTGTCGGCCACTGGAGCTGAGCCTTGTCGAAATTAAATAAAAACGAGTTAATTAAATTTTCTTTTGCGTCCCGAAAAACACAAAACCCAATTAAGGCATGTCAGGACGACGTCCAAAAAGTTTTAATTAGTTGAAAATCGCATTTTACCGCATACCCCGCCCGCCCCGGAATTATAAAATGAATCTGAAAACAATTAACGGAAACCTGTGCATCGGAGACTATTATTGAAATCCAATCCCAACTTTCCTCTCTGGATGTCCTCAAAATGCAATTTCAATTAAATTTTTTCATTTAGGGTTTCAATTAAATTAAATTAAGGGCGCTTCATTAAATAAAAGGGGGGAAATTCGATACCAAAAATTCGAAGGGGCAATTTAACTTTTGGGACACTGCGAACTTCCGATTGAAAACTTGACAATTAAATTTGATTCTTACCTGGTTGGCCAAAATAGCTCCGCTACAAGGTATCGGTACCCAATGGTTGTGATGTCCGTGGTTGCCGATGAGTGTGTGAATGACACCTTTTTGATCCACCGCCCGTATGTTGGTACCGTCGGCGATGTACAGGGTACCGTCGACTGCTATGGCGATGCCTTTCGGGTGGGATAAGCGAGCGTATTTTGCTGGACCCTCGTCTCCGCAGGCTGTGTCATCGCCTGGGATACATCTTTCGCCATTACCCACAACCTAGATAAATTTTGTGATATTGACATGATTATTACACTCATCTAAAGGTTGACAATGGCTGTGGCTATAGGTTCAACAGCTTCTCTTACACAAACAAAAAACACGCAGATAGTTTCAAGAAAGACACAATATCACTAGCTAGTAACTTTGCTCCGTAATAATTAATTTCGGATACATAGCTCCATTTGCAGTTCTTGCATACGCTTTTTTGTGATAGATTTTTACGAAAAAAAAAGAGAATGTTATGAAGGGGCTGAATCGATTACAACCAACAGAATAATAAAGTTAAACCCAATTATTGAATTAGACATTCTCGATAGATAAACCGCTGGACAAAATGTGCGACTATACCATATGTTTTTAGTTGTGAAAATGCTCGGGACTCATTGAAAGTTATCAAAGGCACGTCGCAATTCTTTAAATTGTGACACATTGTTGGGCGATAATGGAAAACTTTTTTCAACGTCATATAAGTTATGAGAACCCATCAAAAACTTGTTAGAAAGTCATAAAGCCCAGTTCTCAAAATACCTTTTCATGAACATTCATGAAGAAATAATATTCCCGTAAACCAAGCTACAAAAGTAATTTCTCCACGTAACGACGTCAATAAATTCAAATTTTCCAAATTAATTACTAAACAGCAGCAAAATAAATTAATGTCTCAAGTGTCTCGCGGAAATCGGTCGGGCGATCAATAAATAAAGGGATCGCTTCCTTCAATATTAATTGTTATATTCGCCCCAAACAAATACTAATAACCTCACCCCGTTACATTAAAGTAACAATTAGTTTAGCTTAAATTTCCATCGTTATTTCGTGTGCGCGCAATTTAATGGAAAATTGGATACGCCGGAAATTGCAACTATTAAATTTAATAATGGCAACTTACCGCTTCGCTATTAATCAGCGGATCCTGGACGGGTTCCAGCGAGAGAACCTTCAGAATTTGATGACGCTCCGGATCGGAAACATAAAGGTGACCATCGGCCGGCGATATTGCCAAGTAGTATTTGTATGCTACTTGAGTAGCTCTAAAAACAAAATTGTTCTTATAGATTACTATAAAAATTCTCGGATTTTCTTACCTGAGCTGTAGCACTGTGTAAACTTTTCCCTCGGGGGTGATTCTGCGAACCAAATTAAAGTCCCCCACGTAAACGCTTCCGTCGGGACCGCTGGCCAGTGATCCCGGAGTCAAAAGTCGTGCGTCCTTTGCCGGTCCTCCGCATTGGCCGGGACAATCGACACTACGTTGCAATCCTGTTCCCATTACTACTTTCACCATACGAGGATATGTCTAAAAGATGATTATTGATTATGTATGATTTTTTATGGAGTCTCTCAAAGAAATTTATTTATTTATTTATTTATTTATTTATTTATCTATTTATTTATTTATTAGCAAAAGTTAACAAAAAAAGTAAAAACAAGAAAAATATAACATTAGTTCACCACTTACGTAGAACTGAAAATAAAATAAAATCTACTGCTAACAATTTTGACGCACGATAGTATTAAGAATACTGTGTGTGCGCCACTTTCTTTTATCTTTTATAACAAATTGAGGTATGTTGAAACAGAAATGAAAAACAATAACAAAACTTTTAAGCAATACAATAAACAATTAATTAATCAATACTCGGTTACCTTTCTCCTTTCTTATATTATGTACTTAATACTAAAACTACTGTCTACTATCCATCTTGTAATTTGCCTTTTCAATTAACAATAAGGTTCTGATTTTAGGTTTTGGGGTAGTGAGTTGAAAACTTTTGGTCCTACACAGTAAATATGATTTTGGCAGATAGTATGCCTGGGGATGCCCCTTACTAGATTATTTTGAACTACATTTCTCGTGTTTATGCCGTGTGTTATATTTTGTCTATAGTCAGTGTTTTTTAACATATACCTTATTACTGATTTGATATACAATTGATTAATATTTATACGAAATCGTTCATAAACGTCTCTTTACAGGTGTTCAAAAAAAAAAAAAAATAGAAAAACTAACAAATTGGTGGGTCAGATACCTTTAGGTCTTAAAAGATTTTGAAGACTTTCCATCTACGTTAATAGACAAAATATAAAAGAGAAGCTGAAACAGCAATGATAGAGACACTTTAAGCCGCTTTTACAGAATTCCAAGTAGATAAATTGGAGATCTATAGCACAGAAACCTGAAGACCATATGATGGACCGTCTACAAATGTTTGAAGATCGTAGACTAGAAGATACTGGGCAAAAACAGAAAATATCTGAGAAATTGGAAGACCTAAGCCCTTTGAATATTGGACCATCTGTTACGATAAATTTATCATTTACGTAACATGTTCAATCTCTTCTTATCTTCAATAAAAAGTTGTATTTTTTCCATTTCAGAATCAGCAAGATAATAATTAATAATAATCTAAAAATATTCACAAAGTTCAAAATAATACAAGTGCTGCCACCTATCCATCATGTGCCTGAAATGCAGGTGTCTAGAATTCATTTACCAGGGCTGCCATATAGTCACTGTTTGGAGTCTGGATCAGCTGGAGTGACGTCACCCCAGCAATCTATTCTCTTTCCTGGATACAGGAAATAACACGAAGAGCTTCAATTCACGAAAGTGAAACCCCAACACCCATTGAAGAGCTCCGGATTGGAAAGGTACATGGTATCAGATTCACCGGAAAAACCAAGCTGTCAACACTAAAGTTTTACAGAAAGTAACATTCACTGTTAGTGTCTGCTACTATATAACATGATAAATCAAATAAAATTATTGTTTGTTGGATTTTGAGTGGTTTGATTTGCACATAAAGGGGCTACACGTTATCTTAATTTTTTGAATTCCACGACCCTAGTGTCTTAAAGTATACAAATTTCAATTTAATTTATAACAAATTGGCGCCCAACGTGGGGCGCCAATTTATACGTAATGTATTTAGTTCTGGGCGGAGTTCCCGAAGAGGAAGTAAGAGAGACCTTTTATGCTTTGCATATAACGGGGATCAGCCGCCATTTACAAGTTATCCGAAAACAAACTCAATCAAGAAGGGATAGAAAAGGAATCAGTGTGCGGACGAACACACCTAGGAATGCAATCATCTCAATTAACCGCTAATCTCAAAGAACCACCCGACTTTAACTCCTGATACCAAGCCTGTGTCAATAAGGTGGTATACAGCAGCCTGACCAATTGATTTCCCGGACAAGAAAAATCACTTAAACAGCAGTTGAGCAGCTCGTATAAGAGAAAACTTAAGATAACCACATACCGGAGCGGTGCGCGCGGTAATCAATAAATCAATAAAAATCTAATTTTGGTTGTTCTTCAGGGAAGGCAAAACTTTCCCTGAAGAAAGGCAAACTAGCCCTCAACCCCTCTCCACAACAGACGACAACAGCAATAGCAAAACAGACATTCACAACTACATAACCAAAAGAAAAAGTTAAATAAAAAAATTGAATATTAAAAGTTAAAAAAAATGTGAATGTAATTAATGATGTAATCGGTATAGTTTAAGACATGCCAAAAAGACCAAAAAAAAAAAAACTTAGGTAATGAAAAGATAAGAGATAATGTCTTGAGAAGAAAAAAAAATAAGGGGAGTTAGGGTAAGGTAAGATATGGGTGAGATAGTAAAGTTGAGGGATGAGTGAATGACAGTGACATGGTATGGTATTAAAGTAAATAATCGACCAACTCAGGATAAAATCGTAAACTTATAGGCTTATAATTAATTATTTACCTTAAAATGTAACGTCGATCCATCGCCCTTTTGCAAAATACCTTCATGGAAGTTGTAATGATGGTGAATATCCAAACCCCATCCACCGATATCAGAAATATCGACTTCAAACCCTTTAATTTCCGTAGTTTGAGTAATCCAGACGAGATCTTGACAAGAATCATGTTGATAACCGATAGAAACCTTTTAAAGCAATTACATTAAAAAAAAATCCATAAAAAAAACAAAGTTCTTACTCTTGCCGTAGCAATTCCATAAACCTTTTGCTTGTAGATGTTCCTTTTGTTCCAGGCGAACGTGTGATAGAGATCCGGGTCGGCCTCGTACGTTTTCATATAGAGACATCCTTCAATTTCCACACGTACGTGCACGTGCGTAAGCGTACTCGGTATCTTATCGCCGGTTAATTTCATTTGAATCGTCGTTAGGTACCCTAGAGCTTGCGAACTTTGGTAGAGTATGTTCAAGTTGGAGCCTGCGGACGCAAAAAAAAATCAGGTCACAAAGTTCCTAAAATCATCGATCCGTTAAGTTTGCGCTATATCCAGGTAGTTTACGGGCGAATATAAAACCAAAAGCCCTATTTATTAGAGACCGACAGTTTTATGGTACAATAAAAATCATATTTATGTCAGTTTAGCTCCGGGGAATTATCTCCTGGTATTACCATAAAAGACGCGACGGGGGTAATTTCGGAACTTACTTTACTTGCTGCTGGAAATCTGCCAATCGATCTAGTTTTACTACAATGTATTTATGCAAAATTCTCACCCGGAATCGGTATAGACTCCTGGACGATTTGAGTTTCGGCAAAAATAACGCTCCTTCCCTGCATCCCTCCGACAGCTTCGGGCATCCAAGTACCCGTGATGATTGGACGTAATAGTTCAGGATCGTGTTCGTCGCAAACGTTAGGCAAAGAGCCTTCCGAGTCAAAAAACGACCTAGAAACTCCGGGAAAATACAGGGCTGGACTTCGACTGCAACAAAACAAAATTTTGAGGCAATATTCAAAAGAATATTGTGAAAAACTCACTCTAATATCTGCTGACTGATTCCTTCTTCGCTGAGTTGCATGTGAATGGGTGGTAAAACGATGATTTGGTTCCACGGTACGTAAACTGTAATTGTTTTCGGTTTGAATGGAGATCTTTGGAATTGTAGAGTTACGGCTCCGCCTCCATTCACCAGCACATCGAACCTGGAATGAACCGAGTGATTGTTTATTGAGGACGTCAGTGACTTTCATCCAAAGAAAATTTTACTGTGGCTTTTTACCTGGATGAACGAGATTTTCACTGTCCCTACCCACATTACGATGGCTGGGGCAATTTTGATAATACCCACCGAACTATCGTGTCTACCATCTCACGATAGTGGAAGGAGAGAGGAGCTCTCGAACGATCCCAGAATGTTGGACAAAGTTTCTGAGCCTCTCTCCAGAAAGATGGAAGTGGTATCGTCTCGTTCTCCGTAAGAAGTGGGGAACTCTACGAATGATTCCAGTTAATCGGGATGGGTTATCTCGAACCGAAACTCATCGGTCGAACGAGGACCCGGAGTTGAAGCTGGAGGACCCCTAATGTCTACCCTATCCCAGTATATCTGGGTCATGGACGAATGAGGTGTTCCGAAAGCTAGTAGAGGGAAACCCTGATTCCGAACCTTGTCAAGGGTAAGCCTGGGTAAGGGGAAACCTGTAACCACTAGAGGGCGCGTCCTCAGGTGGCGGATAGAGGAATGCCTCTCAGATATGAGTGGTAGTAGGGAAATGAAATACCTCCCGCGGACCAACAGGTATAGTAGCGTCGGCCCAGAGTGGGCAGCTACAAATAGCATCTGACCCATAGTGGGCGGCTGAAATTCAAACTCACCAAGACGTGTAGCCAGCGTGAAGCTTTATGGCTAAATACCCCCTATGATCATGTCAGATGTAAAAACTAAAATACCCCAGGCGAGTGAAAGAATACCTTCAAAATCTCGCACTGACAACCACTTACCCCAAGGATTCTGGGGGGCAAACATATGGCAATAAGTACCCAACGTACCAACAACAGAATACCTACTAAATATTTTTTAGAAATATTCCTGACCATTTTTTCGTTACTTAACTCAAGTATACTAAATATTGCAAGCTACAATACCTGATTACTGTCAACAGATGTAAAATAAATGGAACTAAAGCCCGTCGATTTTAATCTGATACTCCAAAGGAATGTGAACTGGTGGCACCTTAGAAGGCCAATGGTCACCTGACGTTACACCTGTTTTTGCCATATGCTTTACCCCCTCGCTCCTCATACGGAAAGTGTCAGATTGAAAACGACGGACAATAGAATGCGAGTTGGAGCCCATAAAATGTAGCCAGTAGAACAAGCCGGTTTCCAGACTGGGTTTGGAACCAACGATCATCTCCAAAATGTCAGAACAGTAATTGAAAAGACCATCAAGTATGGCAGACCTCTTGTTTTTGCTTTTGTAGTTCGTTGGATGCAATATCACAGTCCCTGGAAGAATGCCGTATTGACTATCGCTACACCAAAGTAATTTGCGATATATATAAAAAGGCTACCCTTATGGTAAAACTACTATACAAATTCTAAAGATTTTGGTAAAGGAGTACGCCAGGGAGATACGATGTCTCCAAAACTATTTAATATCGTCTTGGAATATGTGTTTAAAAATCTAGACTGGGACAGAAAAGGTTTGGCCCCACGTTGGGCGCCAATTTTGTTACAATTTTTTGATACCAATTTTGTTATGTAATAAAATAAGCCACTACGACCCTACAGATCTTTTAGATTTTTGTTTGGTGTTTGTAGAGGAGGTTGCGTGGTTCTCTGCTCATTACCAATCTTCTCAACCCTCCAATATACTCACACACCGGCAATGCTGAAGACGCAGGTTCGAATCCCGACCAAGACCAAAAAATTTTTTTAACCTGCAATTTTCCTCAACTTCCTCTTCATTTTCAATTTTCACGCTTTTCGGTTGTTGTAACCGACAAAACTTCATTTCCCTTCAAGAGGTTTGTGCAACAGTTGGTCTGAAAATTACCATCGAAAAAACAAAATTTATGACGAACCTCGTCCCTAGCAATAACCTAATTCTTGAAAACTCCGAGGTTTGGCCCCACGTTGGGCGCCAATTTGGTTACACTTTTTTTTATACCAATTTTGTTATGTAATAAAAAAAAAATGAAAGTGAAAAGTGAAAATGAAAATTTAGAAAAGGGAATTTAGAATGGTGGCCACACTATCACTAGACGTGAAAGGAAACTTCGTTTCTAAAAGCTGCCGACTAACTCCTACAGTGGAGAGTGGTGTGGGTAATTACATAAAAAGCGCCACCTGTTTCAATGCCCTTCAGTTGAACAGAGTTCCGATATTCAAACAAAACAGGAAAACTCAATAGCTAAACGGTACTGCACCTGTCAAACTAAAATTGCTTAAAAGGGTCAATGGAACGCCTCAATTCAGATTATCCGTATAGTAAAACTATATGGAAACACAAATCCTATAGAGATTGGTAAAGGAGTACGCTAGGGAGATACGATGTCTCCACAGCTGTTCATTACCGTCCTGGAATATTGTGTTTAAAAATCTAGACTGGGACAAAAAAGTTATAAAGATAGACGGCCAAAATTTATCAAACCTACGGTTTGCTGACGACATCGTCTTACTAGCTGAAAACCTGGAAGATATTAGGGTAATGCTACAGGAACTTCAAGAGCTTTGAAAATGAAGAAAAAGTTAAGGAAAATTGGGGAATTAAACATTTTGGTCGACGGCGGGATTCGAACCCGCGTCTCCAGCATTGCCGGTGCTACGCTCTAACCAACTAAGCCACCACGACCCTACAGATCTTTTTGATTTTTGTTTGGTGTTTTTAGAAGAAGTTGTATGGTTCTCTGTTCATTACCAAACTTCTCAATCTTGCAATAGACCCACACACCTGCAATGCTGAAGACGCGGGTTGGAATCCCGCCCAAGACCAAAATTTTAAATCCTTCAATTTTCCTTAACTTTCTCTTCATTTTCGTTTGTAACAGACAAAACTTCGTTTTCCTTCAAGAGTTTTGTGCAATAGTTGGTCTGAAAATTAGCATCGGAAAAACAAAATTTATGACAAACCTCATCCCTAGCAACAACCTTATTCTTGAAAACTCCGAGGTTTGGCCTCACGTTGGGCGCCAATTTGGTTATTCTTTTTTGATACCAATTTTGTTATGTAATTAAATAAAAATTAAAGTGAGAAGTGAAAATGAAAATTTAGAAAAAAATGGTGGCCAGAGTATTACCAGACGGGAAAGGAAACTCCGTTTCTAAAAGCTGCCAACTAACTCTTACAGTGGAGAGTGGTGTGGGTAATTAAATAAAAAGCGCCACCTGTTTCAATGCCCTTCCGTTGAACAGAGTTCCGATATCCAAACAAAACAGGAAAACTCAACAGCTAAACGGTACTGCACCTTGACCTGTCAAACTAAAATTACTTAAAAGGGTACAATGGAACGCCTCAATTCAGATTATTCTTATGGTTAAACTACATGAAAACACAAATCCTATAGAGATTAGTAGAGGAGTACGGCAGGGAGATACGATGTCTCCATAACTGTTTATTACCGTCCTTAATATGTGTTTAAAAGTCTAGACTGGGACAAAAAAGGTATAAAGATAGACGCCCAAAATTTATCAAACCTACGGTTTGCTGACGACATCGTCTTACTAGCTGACAACCTGGAAGATATTAGGGTAATTCTACAGGAACTTCAAGAAGTTTGTGCAATAGTTGGTCTGAAAATTAACATCAGAAAAACAAAATTTATGACAAATCTCGTCCCTAGCAAGAACCTAATTCTTGAACTGGTGGATAAAAACACATATCTGGGCCACGCACATATCCAAAGCCAACCAAACATGCGAGATAAACAGAAGAATTATACTCTCCTGGACGGCTTATGGCAAACTTAAAGATGTTCTTAAAAGTGACCTCGCAATCTGCTTGAAAAGAAAAGTTTATAACCAATGTGTTTACCAGTTATGACCTACGGCGAGGAAACACTAACCTTTACCAACACTTCTGCTAAAAAACTCAAGATAACATAGCGCAAAATGGAGAGGTCGATGCTTGGTGTCTCGCTACGTGATCACATTAGGAATGAAGAACCACGCAGAAGAACAGGCGTGGCCGATGTGGTTGTACATGTAGCAAAACTCGAATGGAACTGGGCCGGACACGTGGCCGGCATGCAAGATGGCAGGTGGACGAAACGACTTCTTGAATGGAGACCCAGATCCAATAAAAGCAGAGAAAGGCCACCAACTCGCTGGATAAGTTACAAAAAACTGGATTCGAAGCGCTCAAGACAGAAAAGAATAGACTGAACTAGGAGAGGCCTACCTTCAGCAGTGGATGCAGAGGACTGATTGATGATGATTGATGATGAATACAAGGAATAAGGTGCTACGACATTCCTTCACCGGTGAAACTGCTCGCTGCTGTGTGATTCCAGGGTTCATGGTTTGAAGGCACAAGCGTGTATTACTTGAGATGTCGTAGCTACTCACAAAAGTGAGTACCAAATAGCAACTCATCAAACGTTTTTGGGGGAACCTGGCTAACACAAGTACCCATGGGAAAAGGCCAGCCCAGTCAAGTCCAAAAACAGATAGGGCTAAGTGGTTTAGTGGGTAATGCCCCGGACTGTGGAATCACAATATGTGTTCATATATCCCAAGCTTAAAACTTAGTGGCCCTTGCTCTGTGTACCACTCATCTTACCCACACCTATTCAGAACGACTGAGCAAGGCGACCAAAAACCTCCTCATAAAAAAAAATAACTATCACCAAATACTCTCTCTTCTACTGTTTCTAATTTTATTTTATTTTCCTTCTCAAAAACACGTTTTAGTATAGTTTTGATTATACAAAGAGAGCTGCGCGCCGAGTAAGCAAATCTGGGGGTTTCGAATGTTAAAGTAAACGCAGAGTTAAAATAATTAAAGTTAAGGGACTTCCCTTGGCTTTTATTTTAGCGCGCCCCATTTTCTTTTTTGCACTTTGTTTAGTGCTTTGCACTACAGTAATTTTATCTCGTTAAAAACGAAGACCGAAAATGGGGCATGCGAGCGGTAGGGAAATGGCGCTACGCGAGTTTGTTGGAACGGAAAAGCTCCAGATTTTAATACGATTTATGATGTTTGTGTTTTCAATTTTTTTTTTCTTGAGAGAGGAGATAAATTGTACTCAATTAAAATTTCTTAAAAAGAAAATTAAAAATACGAAAAAGATATCTTTTGTAATTAATAAAAGTTCTGCTGATGTCTGGCATAAAATGAAAGACAAATATTTTCTTTGAAATTAAACTCCCTATAACAGTGACTGCTCCCAAGATAAACACCATTTCAACGCTGTGGAAATTTGCCTCTTGGGTAAAGAAGTTTTTTTTTCTTGTAACTAAGCAATTGTCTTACTAAAAATTTACTCACCAGCCTCCTTTTCTTGTAAGTGTAAATCCAAATTTCGATTCCCGATCCACCGACACTCGTATTCCAATAATGCCAATACCTTGGGGCGAAACGACTTGTCCTCTCATAACAGCCACGCGACTAAATAATGAAAATAGAAACGATTTCCTAATTAAAAATTCAAATTTTCTTGTTGATTTTGGTTCCACAAAAAATGTCCATTGGAAACCACAAATCGAATTTTTAAATTAATAAAAAAGGGCCTCTCAAGATTAATTATTATTGAATTAAAAATTAATTAGTCGTTGAAATAGCGAGGCCTTATTTAATTCAAAAAAAATGTGGTTTCCAATACACAATTAATAAATTCATGCGCTGGTAAATAAAAGCTGGCATGAGGCTGTAATAACGTAACAGCATCGGCATTACGTGATTACAACCAAAAATAAGTGAAAAATTACACAGGCAATTCCATTACTTCTAAAATGAGCATATAAACTAGTATTTTACAGTCAATAGAGGAGGGGTTTAGAAAAAAAAAATTCACTAGCAATATTTAGGTCAAATTGCTGGGTCACTATGAATATTAGGGGGTTTTATCATAGATATACTTATTTAGATTGGTACTTACCCTAGTTTTCTTTCTGAATATGCCTGTATAAACTTGGTTATTAGGTAATTAGTGAACAATAGTCTATTCATTATATATTATGAATAGTTAGAAACGAGAACTTCATTATGGTAATTTTTGAATAACATTCTGGATATCCTATTGCATGAACTCGAAATTTGCCTGCGGTTATATTATTTGTCAGTATAATATTTCGTACACATCGATCGTCTTTTTCTTCTTCTCAGTCTCTACTTTTAGATGAAGGCCTTTTTTAAATTTTTCCACACCTCTCTAACAAGGGCTACATGTATCCAGTTCTTCTGTACTACATAATTTAACTGTGCTGTTTTTTGGAGCACATCTGCTTGCTACATGCATGCTTCCTCTGATCTCTTCATTAGGCACTCCAGCACTCAAAAAAACTCTTAGCATGATCTTTGAAATTATGCGCCGAGTGACCTACTTGGAGGCGAGATTTTCGTGGTTTTGTTTTTTATCTTTCGATATTCAATCTGATCCTAGACTGAACCTGAGAACGTTTGCCTGGCCACTTTTTTCGTGGGGCCCTACAGGAATTCGGCATTGCGGTATTTGTCCCGCTTGGCCTGCCAACTCTCCGACAGGGTCCGTCAGCCAGTTCTGGCTTTTGAAGAACACCATTGCTTGATCTTAAATGCGGTTCGTCTTCTACGTTGAAGCCGAGAGTAAAGGTGCAACACCGGCTCTAGCACAAAATCAGTCATTTTTCCATGTAAATCTCCATAAGAAATTCTATGGTCCGTCCGGCAATTTTCGTACCATTTTGGAGTGGGGATAAAATTTCCAGAAAGAAGCTCCGCCCCCTTTCCAGTGCTTGTGTCTTTCATCGGTCGCACTAACTGGTCAGTTGCCGCTGCTTCAGGGTCATTGATCGTATCTGGCTCCGAGCGGCTCATCGAACACACATAGTACCTTGTGACTGGGTACCTCATTAAAATAGGAGATTAGTCTTTGTAGGTCGTCTTCTGAGTCAGCAACACAAGTACCTTACTCATAATTATCGTACTGCTAGCCATAATCCAACTCTATGGGAGGTCGACCTGCAGGCTTACGCGGACGACCAGCCATTGTAATTAGGGGAAAATCGGAACATAGAGTCTCCGAAACCCTTCAGGAAATATTAGACACAATACTTGCATGGTGCGAGGGTGAGGATATAACAATAGATCCTCACAAAATAACTAGTAGTGCCCTTTACAAGGAAAATGAAGCTTGACCATCTGATACCTCTTAATCTGGTGGGTGGTGGAACTCTTTGCGAACGAAGTCTCATATCTAGGAATTACTCTAGATAAAAGGCTTACCTGTTACCTGACGTAACTAGTAATAAAATCCGCCTCGTGCATTGTCTAGTTGCAGATGCAAGTTGTACGAAGCGGGAGCCAACTTTCAGGTTATGTAGATGTGACCCGGAGAACAAAGCGTCAGAAATTGGGGGCCAGTAATACGGGTCAGTTCAATAGCTGTATCAGACGTCTCTAGACCTGTATAGCTGTGTACAGACCTGTCTTCATACTTGTATAGCTGACAGACATTTCTGTATACAGCTATACAGGTCTGTATATAGCTAGACAGGTCTAGAGACAGCGGGTTGCTGAAGCTGATGCTGCCGAAGGGGGCGAGACTCGTGGCATTCGCAGACGGCGAAGCTGTGGTGATAGTGGCAAAACACTTGGAAGAAATTACCTTCATCTTCGATATGACTTTTGAGAGGATATTTGTGTGGATGGACTCGGTTGGCCTGAAGCTAGCAGAACATAAAACCGAAGCGGTGCTGATCACCAGTAGAAAGACAGTAGAGACGATTAAGCTGCAAGTCGGGGAGCATGAGCTCACATCCCGGCCGTTTATTCGGTATTTGGGAATAATGATAGATGCCCGACTAAATTTCAGGCAGCAAGCGGAGCACGCAAGCACCAAGGCTTCAGGCGTCAGAACTATCCTATCACGACTTATGTCTAACATAAGAGGTCCAAAGCAGCTCTATTGTTGTCTGTGATCACATCTATGATAACTTATGGCATTGCTATTTAGCCTGACGCGTTGCAGAAACAAGAATCGCGGTGAAAAAATAGCACAAGTCTACCGGCTAAGCGCCCTCAGAGTCGCATGCTCGTACCGCACCGTGTTCGGGGACGCAGTGTGTGTCATCGCCGGGATTCTGCCTATTGAAGTAATCGCCGAAGAACGAAGATTCCTGTACCGGAGGAAAGGACCAACGACACAGCACAGCAGAGCTGAGAACAGAAGCGAGGCGAAATAGAATACGCCGATGGCAATTGCTGTGGGATGCTTCGACCAAAGGGAGATGGACTTATCGCCTGATACCGCTAAACCGACACCACGGGGAGGTCAATTACTACTTGACATAAATGCTTTCAGGATATGGGTGCTTCCGCGAGTATCTTTATAAATTCAAGCATGATGATTTTCCGGAATGCCCAGCCTGCACAGGAGTCAATGAAGATGCGGAGCACGTGTTCTTCACGTGCCCTCGTTTCATCACGCCACGTAGTTCCTGGGAGATTGTCCTTGACGAGAAGGTTCAACCAGAGTCCTTGGCGACAGCTATGCTCTCATCAAAAGCAGCCTGGGAAGCAACGAGCTCATTTGCGATTGAGGTCCTTCAGGAACTCCGTCGCATAGAGAAAGAGCGAACGAAGGATAAAAATACCTAGGAAGGAAGAATTACTTCGACCACCTAAAGGAAGAGCTACAGCTTCAGTTTCATTCCGCGGATGAAATAGAGGCCGATGCCAGAGGAGAGTTATTAGTCGGTATTGTGCAAACCGAGTCCGACATACCAGGCAGAACACCAAGCCCTGCCGATACACAAAAGTATTTTTCCCCTCTACAAAAAAAAGTCTAGAGACAGGTCTGTATACAGCTATATAGGTCTAGAGACTGGTCTGATACAGCTATTGAACTGACCCGTATTACCCGGCCCCTAATTACTAGCGCTTTGTTCTCCGGGCCCCATTTACATAACCTAGAACTCATAGCCTAAAAGTTGAATTCCACTCCAAAATGGTACGAAAATTGCCAGATCGGACCTTAGATTTTCTTATAGAGATTTACATGGGAAATGACTGATTTTGTGCTAGAACCGATGTTGCACCTTTACTCAAGAACAATGGTGCGTAATTATTGACACGATCTCATTGTGCCTCGTTATCCGTTTGTCATGTATGCGTCCGGATTTTTGAAACACATATCAAATCGATCGACACGACATCGGCGTTCCTCCATCAGAGGTTTCCCGGAGAGTCCTGCCGTAAGCAGGTTCCCAGTCCGGAGTTGACCAGCCCTGAGTAGTGTTGCCCACGAGAGTTTCGTTTACGCGAGTCTAGCATGGTCTCATCTAGTTTCCGAGACAGACTCGAGACGATACTCGGATAAGACGAGACGAGACTTTTATTGGTCTCGTCTGGAGTCTCGGGTTTCGTGCGAGAGTGAATATTTCTGCGTGCAGACAATGTATGTACAGGGTGTTTCATATTTATTGTGAAAAACTGATAAGTGTTGCAGAGGGTATCAAAATAAGCAAGTTTGCTTCATGAAACCCTATCCTGAAATGAACCACTATGGCACTACAGCAATCAAGATTTGAGCGGAGCAAAAAATTCCCTAGTAGTGGAAGGTTCGTCTCGCTCACTGTATAATTTTGTTTTGTCGCCTTGGATAAGTTGTATAGTTAAAATTAACTGCAATTCCTCCGCACATACTGGTTTGCTGTGTTTACTTTTTCGTGAACTTTGATTCGCCACACTGTGTCACTGTTTAATGAGACTAATCTGAGTAGATTGATCGCAAGGTTTTGCTATTTGTGCAGTTAGTTTCAGTGAGTGGTGCACGAATCGTAGTAATTTGTTCGTAAAATGGAGCATTATTCCTAAGAGCTGAGCGGCTGTACGCCGAAAAGTTCCCAGAATTTTTGCGAGGATTCACGGACGTCTTCGTGAAAGTGGTAGCGTCCAACGCTTGGGGGGCGCAGGGCGGCCCTTCGCCGTGCGGACAGCAGATTTTGAAGAAGCGGTTCTGCACCATGTAGAAGACAACCCGTCCACAAGTGTGCGTGCGATTGCAAGTGCTATGGGGGCGGCCCCAGATACTATGGGATCAACAACTGCACCCGTACCATTTGCTACGAGTCCAAAGCTTGAATCTGGATGATTATCCGCCGCGGCGCCGTTTCGGCCGTTGGTAATTGCATTGTGGGGGACCACATCATTGGGCCATATTTGTTCCCAGCGGCCAGAACGCTTGGACGGGAATATTTACGCTCACTTTCTATAGCAGGTGCTACCAGAGCTGTCGGAGGAGGTGCCACTAAACCTAAGAGCTAATCTGTGGTTTCAACACGATGGCGCTCCACTACACTTCAGTTTTCAAGCGCGGCAGTATTTTGACGACACTTCTGGAAACAAGTGGATAGGTCGAGGCGGCCCTGCGCATTAGCCCTCGCGGTCGCCCGACCTGAAACCGTTAGATTATTTTCTCATGCAAAAGTTTTGGTGTATGAAACTCCTGTTCCCAACCAACAAGAGCCACTAGAAAGAGTGATGGCCGCGTGCGCAGAAATCCTAGAGATACTGGGGATATTCCGCAGAACAAGGCGATTAATGAATAATCGCGCAGCTATATATTGAACGTCGTGGAACACACTTCGGAAATTTTTTTGTAAGCTGTAGCAGTAAACTGGTAACAATCGCAATTTCCGTTTATTTTTTTTCCTGGAGCCGAACAGCAAATTTCTGGATAGGTCTTTATGGAGCAAAATTACTTATTTTGACACCCTCTACAACCCCTCTCAGTTTGTCACAATAATTATGAAACACCCTGTATATGAAACACCGAAATATAGGTAGGTGCACGAAGAGATCGGGGATTACATTATAGCAAGTAAAGTATCCCGTATTAGAGTTTGAACTGGAACAAGATTATGCATGACGAGATTTCGAGACATTTGCGAGATTCTCGTACGAGACGCGAGACGAGTCGAGACTCGAGGGTACGAGACAAGACTTCCAATGTCATCGGCAAGACGAGACAAAACTTTATCGTTGATCTCGTGGGAATCACTAGCCTTGACGAAGTCATGGCCAGTCCAATCAGCTGGTCTGACAGCATTGCAGTTCAGTAGAAGGTGGTGAAGTATCTCTTCGTCTCAACAGAATCTACAGGTGCCACTTTCTTTCCACCCCAATTTCTGTAGGTGTTTCTTGAGTCTGTAATGTACCGAGAGAAACCCGGTTAAAGTCTTGAGACTTTTCTTGGTAAGGTTGACCAGCATCTTTCTTGATTGAAGTTCTTTGGTCTGTCGTAGTCCTGGCTGTTCTATCCATTGTTTGTTTCTTAGCCGATTCTCTCCTGTTTTGAGGATTTCTTGGAGGTGCGCATTTCCGACGCCGCAAAATGGTTCTGGCACAGTGAAGGTATTAGATGTTCCCGTTCTTGCGAACCTAGAGAAGGGTCACTTTGTTTTCTTTTCCCAGCTTATTGAGTTTCTGTAGAAATTCCCATACTATCTTAGAATTGATGACCGAGATGCTCAATGCTTTAATAGGTGCTTGGCTGTCCGACATTATTACAATCTCTCGTTTTCAATAACTTCTATTCAGATTGAACTGCACGCATCTTCCGATCTCATGAAATATGCTTGGTGATTTTGCCATTGGCTCCGAGTAGCTGATCTGTAGCCCGAATACTCCAGCTGCAGTTTTGGAACAGTCTGTGTACCATTTGATGTTGTTTGATTTAAAGCATTGCATAGATTTTATGGTTGGGAACACTAGGCTTCTCCACTCCGGACGCACCGAACTGGTGTCCCAAATATCTGAAGGTGTTCATATGGGGCACTTCAGGTATTTTAGGGCCCCCAATTGAGAAAATCGGTCGAGTGACCGCGACAGGCCTTTTGTCTCTGCCTAGGGGTGTCGCTTGAAAGTGCCACACTATCAACTTGATTCTGGAACTTTTCCCTCTTCATTTATTATTGAGAAAAATTCTAAAAATTATACGATTTGGATGTAAAGTGATGTTGCGCACAAGAAAAAGGTAAACGAACAATTTTTTTGACGAATTTTATAACTTTAGTTTACTGAAATAAATGTCTTAAATCTACACTATAGTCACGTTTATAATGAAAGGACACTTATCGTCAGAAAGTTATACGGTCGACCCATTATCATAGTGACACAGCAGTTTAACCCTTAAACGCCCTCCGAGTGTGAGTATATAATTTGTGAATAAGGACAAAATGCAACGGATGCAAGGGCCCCATTAATTAATAAATTAATTAATACAAGGTTGTAAAGGATATAAGGTTGTACAACAGAGGTTATGGGGGTTAAATGTGTATTAAGAGCTTGGTTACCGCTTAAAGCAATATACGGTTAATTAATTATCGGTAATGCATCAAGCATTAAGCGGTAAAAGCTCTAAGGAACGAGTTTTGACACGTAGACAAGATGGGGGTAAGGGATTTCAGAGTTTGAGCCGTCAATTATAATAATTTAAAACATTTTTTTTTTTTTAGTTGAATACGAGTTAAAATTATAATTTTGGCCAATTGAGTAGGCCGTCCTATTAAACCCTATACAAAAGTTGGCCTATAAGTAAACATTAGAGGCCATAGTAATTTTTAATTCGTATCCTTTTTCTTACCTTTAAATTCAATCAAAGATTTTTTTAAAATTTTAACTCTACAAAAATGATATCATTATTAGTTTTGAGCATATACATAGACATCTAGGTAGATACAAATTTTTGCAAAATTAATTTTTTTCCCATTTTCATATAGGAAGGTGAACAGTGGTTTAAGTTTGGGGGCTTTTTTTTTGATGATCATGAATGAAGAAATATACATATGGCGCAGCGATAGAGCATACAGATTACGTTTCGCAAAAGAAAACAAAAAGAACTTTGTAGGGAAACTAATAATATGAGCTGGTTTATGTTTGACGCATGAAAAATTACCATCTTATTAGTTATCTACAAGATTTTTCAAGGGAGAAATAAATAATTCACATACCAAAAAAGAAGCATGATTTAACGAGTAACACACAATACATAAAATATTAGACGAACAAACAAAATTTATGGTTTTCTTTTTTTTTTTAATGGTTTTTGTTAGTTTATGGTAATTTTTAGTTTTGGTTTTGACTATTTGAAATTTGAAAATTAGGTTGGTACAGCATAAATGTTTTAATAGCAGAAATCCTTTTGAAGCAAATAAGTGTATTTTGGTACACGTGGGTTTTATCGGCCTCTAAAAATTACACCATCATTAAAGAGAATTGAATTCCATTTAAAATGAGGCAAGATGTAACGTTATGCTCCGTTAATAAAAATGTATGAGATATTTGGCAAAATTTTTTTCATAACTATTAGTGCTACGATCATATTAATCAATTGAATTAGATTAAAAATTGAGAAGGTTAAAAGCAAGTAGTCTAATTGCTCAAAACCAAAACCAAAAATTATCTTGGAAGAAAGTCTAGAAAGAGACTTGTTTTGTGATGTATGTATGTATGAAACAGGCATTAGTACAATGGAAAATAATAAAATAAAAAATAAAAAAACAGACAAACAGACAGAGATAGAGATAACGTATACGGAGGAGTTTCAATATGCTGCGACTTACCGCGGTGTAAAGGAGTTCCAGAACTCGCTACGGGGTTGCAGCAGCGACACAGAGAACACAAGAGACAGAGGACAATGTTACTTTTATCTCACTCTTTCTCGCAACACATTAATACATATTATCCGACATGATTTAATCAAGTTGACATTAAAAACAAATACACATGTCGTATATTATGTATTACTTTTACTAATCGTCAAGAGCCAAAAAAATATATACGCCGATGAAGGCAATGAGATTTCAAATTTTAATTGTTATTGGTTTTTGACGAAACGCCACTCGCATTTTTCACACCGATTATTCGTGACAACAGGACAAATATGACGGACACACAAAAAAAAATAAACAAAAACTAATTTGATCTACAGACAAAATGACAGACACAAGTTGCAATAATATTGGATCTACGATACGGGTATAGATAATAATAATATGTACTATATTAAACAAGTAGGGCATAAGTTTGTTTGTTTAAAAATTGAAATATTCACGTGCACATTATAATCGTAATGCGGTCGCGCAATCCATTAATGGTACATTAATTAATTTAGTCTAAACGGGCATGAAATATTATTGTTGCAATTTTCTGATGATATGCATATTTTATGCATGCCGTACTAATTTATTATCGTTCGTGCGTTACCTCTCTGGTATTTATGTTAACGAATTTTGATTAATATATACAATGGCTAGAAATTATTTCCAAAAAGAAAAGTAAATATTTATAATATCATCGGCTTCTTTATAGTAGAAATAGTAATCAATCGATTTTGTTTTGTTGTTTCCTTAGCCAGGAAGCGTTTTACGGAAATTTTGTCAATTTATTTCGAAGGCAAATGGATAAAGTTCGCTCGTAGATAGCTGCGTCACTGAACCAGGAATCGGTAAATTAAAACGAATCATTTCCGGTTTGCTTGTTGAGTTTCTGGCACAACAACATAAAAAGCCAATCGTAAATTATGTTAATGGAGGAAATACTGTAAAGTACACTTGTTTCTTTAGAAACTATAAAAAGAATTGATACAACATGAAGTTTTTTTTTATGAGAAAGCTATATTGCAACTTCTATAAAATATTTGATTCATTACAATCGAGAAGCTCAGGTAGAATCTGAGTAAGTTGGAGATACAGACGAAGAACCAATAAGCAATCTGATAAAATTATTCTGGTTCAACTGCATTGATCAGCATTAGTTTACCAACTATTGATTAATTTCGAAGCAAATAACTTATCTTTTAAAGAAACTCTCGCATTTCGCTATATCGCTAGAGCTTTTAACAACACATTCCATGCACTAAAGAGAACGGGAGTCAATGACACAATATCTCGATGGATATATAAGATGCATGCTACGAGGAGAGCAGATACTTGGCGGAGTATGCTCACCCCTGGGCCTCTATTCTTGACAGGTAGGGAGTAGAAGACAAGAGAGAACTGGGCAGGGTTTGAGAGAATCGTATTCTTGAACAAACTTTGATAGAAGGAGCTGCTCCCGAGAGACCATCAATGATCTGCTGGTACGACCCAATAGAAAAGGCTTATCCCCGATATTTCCAACCTAAAATTTTTCATTTTTGTTTTGTTTGGTGCGAGTGTGCAAGTAATTTCGCGATTTCGGAGGAAATACCGTTAGGAGGAAAATACCGTTATGGGCAAAGTATTCTACGGATATTCCAGCGAGAACAAAAGCACTTCTTGCAGTCACATCGTGTGGCAACTATAATGGAGAATACTTTATCTATGGGGATCTATGACCGTTTCCCGGAGAACATCTCGTAGAGTACTAATCACGAACGCAGCTGATAGGTTCATGATCAATCTATCCAATCAAGAACTCTTGAACTGGACAAAACAGACATTTTAAAAATGTATATACATCTTAATGATGATACACATGTAGTGTATAGACCATACCGTCTTTCCCACAATGAACGAAAAGTTCCGATCGAGGAAGCTAAAATTCATAATTATATATATTGTTTTGCGTTGTCTTATGGTTGTTTTATTGAATTAAAAGGGTGAAGTTCACATGCAGAAGAAATTAATAATGTGGATGATAATGCCATGGAACATTTTGGAGTTCCAAGGGATGTTCTGGATAAGAGAAATCCTCTGACGGTACTTTGAGCGGTTTCCTGCTCTGTTGGAACAAAGCTCTTAGTAAGCACACAATGCAAGGGCACGCAAGAAATAATCTGTTAAAATTTTCTGTGTTTTTAGTGGTGAACCCACGCGGACACAGTATTCCCAAAGACTGCATTCCCTCTCACATTCTCTGTCACTCAAGAATATGTTTTCTGATATACGTATACTGGTGGGTCAAGAATTGAATAAGGGACCGGAACCGGAGTACTGGTGCCTAGAATCAAGTTCTCCGAAGTAATGAGAAAACACTCAGACATATATTTCAAGTGGAAATATATGCTATAAGTAAATGTGCTGAGTTCAATCTTGACAGAAACTACAAAAATGGAGAGATTGTCATATTCTCACACAATCGAGCAGCCATTAAAGCGCTGAGCTCACCAATAATCAGCTTCAGAATGGTTTAGGAAAGCCTGGACAAGTTGAACAATCTCCTCAATACACTGACCGATCAGAGCTTCACCTGCTTTGGACACGCTGATGATATTGTCATCATGACCCAGAGGCAAATATGAAGGAATACTCTATGACCTTATAGAAAATGCACTTCGAACCATGAAGGAATAATGTCAGACCGTGGGACTGAATCTAAACTCGGCGAAAACCACACTGGTAACATTTACAAAAAGAGCTCCAAGAAGTTCTCAAAAAGGAAGCTCTAAGCTAAGGAACAATCAGGAACAATAAGGCCAAAGATCAAAGATCTATCGGACAACTTCAACCAAAAAAGATCAGAAATGCTAGTCAACTTTAGCAAGAAACGTCTGAAGACTCTAACCGGGTTTCCCTCGGGACATTGCAGACTTAAGACACACTCATAGAAACTGGAATTGGAATAAGGTGGCAACTGCAGAATCTGTGACTATGGAGAAGAAACACCTCACCATCTCTTACTGAACTGCGATGCCGTTAGTCGCTCAAAAATGAAGAACCTGGGAACTCTCTTTATACATTTGGAAGACATTACAGTCTTGGAACCGCTAGATAGCCTAAAATTCCTAAAGCACCTAGAACTGCTTCGAGCAGGAAACCCGAACTTAGCAGCATACGGAGGGGTACAATAGATCAACCTTGATCGCAGTGCAACTGTCACCAAGATCAACACACCTTATATCACTCAGTAATTCCAAGCTTCGCATCCTCACTCCAGAACACAAATTACAAATTAGCCATATTTTCTTCCAAATTTAAAACTTATTTTCTTATAATAAATATAGTATTTATTTTCTATTTACCAATCTAGCCAAGCATTTTCAAAGTCATCGACATCACGAATAGTGGATCAGTAGAACATATTATAAGTCAGCACTTTTGTAAATACTGCATTTATTTGTGTATAAATAGTGTTACCGTTCCTTGAATAAATTCATATTAAATCATCGGTTGTTTGTACTCAATCATACCTAATAGTCAACTGTTTACTACAGAGTGTTACTACGCACCCTATCAACTATTTGACAACAAAGAAGAAGTAGGTGCTCAGAATGTAATCAGTCATTCTCTGCCACCTTTTTTAGTTACAAGACTTCTCACATCAAGGAAACGATTGTACATTTGGTCCTTTGAGCCGTGAAGACACACTCTAGACCAGGCACAAGAGGACAGGAAGTATTTGTTTAATTTTTTAGGTTACTTGCGCGAGTATAAGATATATCAATTTCTTTCATTGTGTGTCGGGAGATCATATAAACTAAATTATTGTTATATATTTGTTATAAATTTTTGTCGAAGAAGAGGGGGTGTGTAACGAAGCTACATAATTTTCCGGCTATTTTAATGATTGCTACCGCGGTTCTAAATTAATTACTTCCAAGTGTAGAAACACACACACACCCTATCGCAAGTGCCTTGTCTGGTGATAGCCTACTAAAACCAACCTCCCTATATATAGCAAGTGTTTTGTCTAGTTATACATTTACTTCCTGCTGTTGCAAGTGCCCTGTCTGGTTGCAGCATCCCGACTGATTAGGATTCTGTCAAGCCTGCGCGGTGCCCAAGTATACCTTGGGTGAGAGTGGTTCATTCAGTCACCTCCTTGTATAGCAAGTGCTTTGTATGGTTATACATTTCCTCCCTGCTGTAGCAAGTGCCCTGGAACTTTATTCTCGAAACCGAGAAACAGCGTTCTGATGAGAACGATTGCTCTGTCATTGTCAATGTTATGGAAATATGAATACGAACGACGAAGATAGAACCTTCGTTCTCATGAGAACAATGCTTTCCAGTTTCGAGAATAAAGTCCCTGTCTAATTGCAGCATCCCGACTGATTGGGATTCTGTCAAGCCTGCGCGGTGCCCAAGTTATACCTTGGGTGGGAGTGGTTCTTTTCAGTTATCCATTTATTATCCTAATTTTTCTCAATACACTTTCAACCTCAACATTTTTATACCAATTCATACCAAACACACACTTTTGCGCCCTTCAGCGTTAACACTTAGACACCGGTCTAAGCATACACAGTGGAATGGATTAGGGCCATGCTGTCAAGACGCACAGTTAGAGCAACAATCAACAACGAACCTGCAGAAGCCGAGGTAGCCAGGGGCTGCCCTCAGGGAGGGGTGCTGTCACCACTCCTTTGGTGTCTGGTGGTGGACGGACTCCTGCGGGAATTGAACGAAGCGGCCTATGCCGACGACCTGGTCATTCTTCTGATGGGCCAGACCACGGAACGGCTGGGCAGACCGATGACCAAGGCCTTAGGCCTGGTGGAACGCTGGTGTCGGGCAGAGGGCCTGAACGTGAACCCTGATAAAGCCGAGATGGTAATTTTTACAAGGAAAAGGAGGCCGGGACAAATACCCGAAGTCAACCCTTTCGGTCGTAGGCTTAGACACTCTAGGTCAGTGAAATACTTGGGGATTACCATAGACTCAAAGCTGACCTGAGGGAAGCACCTAAGCAGTAAATTCAAGAAAGCCAACAACTATGGGCATGTAAAAAAGCCTTTGGCAACACGTGGGGCCTGGAACACAAAATCCTGCATTGGATATACACGGGAATCATACGATCCATTATCACTCACGGATTCATTATCTGGTGGCCCGAGACAAAGACGGCCAAGGCCAGGGCCCTGCTAGACAGTGTCCAGAGACTTTCCTGCATTGAGATAACTGGTGCTATGAAGACGGCCTTAACCAAAGCTATTGAAAGGCTGGTCGGGCTACCACCTCTCCACCTATTTCTGGAAAACGAAGCCCTGAGGTCGGAATACAGGCTGCAGGGACTTGGACACCTGAGGGACAATAAATGTCTCCGGGGACATATAAGCATTTGGCGAAAGGCAATGCAAAGCTGCCCAGCCCTGCTGATGAAACGGGATAAGACTCTACCTACCAACCAGCCATGTGGACCCCTCAGATTCTCCTATCCCCGTAGGGATGAGTGGGGGAACACAGCAGAGACGCCGAGGACCGCCAACCAAGTAGTCTGGTTCACAGACGGCTCAAAGACGGGCAGCGGCGCAGGGGCGTGCGTCTACGGGGAAACCACGGGCGCTAGGTTACCCTATGCCCTTAGCTCGTACGCATCCGTCTTTCAGGCGGAGATCTATGCCATTCTAAAACGTGATCACGAAAACCTCCAACATGCCTTTACAAATAAGGATATTTATGTCTACTCGGACAGCAGAGCGGCACTGCAGGCACTGTCATCCGAAAGAGTGGATTCGGCGATAGTGGCAGAGTGTAAAACTATGCTGTGCTCTATAGCCAGACACAACAGGGTCAACCTCGTATGGGTACCGGGAGATTCCAATGTCCGAGGCAACGAAGAGGCTGACCTTCTGGCGAGGAAAGGCTCGGCAGATTCAGTAATGGGTCCGGAACCAGTAATAGGCCTGCCAGACTCGACAGCAGTGGCACTTCTAGAGGAGGCAATGCTTCGCAAAGCCGAGGAGCTCTGGAGGAGTTGCAGCGGAATTAAGCAGGCCAAACTGCTAATGGGAACCCGGAAGCCAAACGAGAGCAAGGTTTTCCTGGAGCTTGGGAGGAAAAACATCAAATTCCTGACGGGACTCCTCATCGGATACTGTCAGCTCAACAGACATCTGTACGTAATGGGGATCGTAGATGACCCTGAGTGCAGATTCTGTCTGGAGGATGAAGAAACCTCCATCCATGTCCTCACCGAATGTCCAGCTATTGCCACGATCAGAACGGTGTACTTCGACAGACACGTTATTGACCTCGAAGACATAAGAGAGATTAAGCCCCGAATGCTCTGTGCATTTGTCAGAGCCGCGGGGCTAGTTTAAACAAAAGTGGGCGCACAACGGGCCTGGACAGGCGGCCTACGTGCAATTAATGTACATTCGCCCATGGAAAGAAAAAAAAAGCATGCACACATACACATACACTGTTGCGCCCTTCGGAGTTAACACTTAGACACTGGTCTAAGCACAAACCACACAATACAATTATACCATCATATATATGGACACTATCAACACATTGGCCAAATCCCAAGAAACATTGGGAAAGGAAATTCAACGCCACCTGGCCAATTTCAAGAAAGACTCTACAAGCAGAAAAACCCAGCATTATTATCAAGACAAAATAAATGTCTGGGAAGAGGTCGAGAAAAATCATGTGGAAATTGGTAAACAGAGTATCATTCTCATGTATACTACACCCATAAGTACATCGAACAGCTTAATGATGCCATAGCGTACATTATTGCTAAGAAGAAGCAACATTTAGCGTCATCCTTAAACCAAGCGCTGCAAGCCCCGCCAAACCGAATGAATGAAGAAGAAGTTTGAATCAATCAATCCAGATTCTAGACAAAATCATCAATAATTTGCAGTTGGTGAAATCAAGCAGTCGTTATCAACTATTATACTACAAAATTTTGAACCATTGGAAGATCATCTCCAAGATATACATTGAGCTACAAGTTCCAGGCCGTTCCAAAACAATCAAGAATTCCTATAAAGAAATCGAGCTCAAATATGAAGATGTTCTGGAAACATTGGAATCCAAAGTCCGAGGCCAGGATATTCTGACTCAAGAATCAACATTATGCAATGTCAGTTTTCCTCAGATAAATTACCGTTTTTCGATGGTCAGTATGAAGATTACCTATTCTTCATACTGACCATGACTTTCTGAGACATTTTCAGGAAGGTTGTCCATGAAAACAAAAATCTGCCGCAGATTGAGAAAATGGAGTACCTCAAAACCCATATTTGAGGAGAAGCCAGCAGACTTATACAGCATCTTCAAATTTCAGACATTAACTGTCATACAGCATGGCAAATCTTAAGCGATCGTTACAGCAACGAAAGACTTATCAGCCCAAAATTAATAGGCAGAATCTTGGATATTCCTGCGATTCAGCAGGAATCAGCATCAAAAATAAAACAGCTGCATGACACCATCATCGAATGTTTGGAAGCTCTAAAAAATATCAAGATTCAGATTACAAGATTTTGTCGAAATGAAAAGACTAGACAGTCACTAGAAGCCATCTTAAATTCTCCGAAGATTTTACCAGTTAAACACAACTGCAATAAAGCTCACCATACCCATGTTCTCGTAGACTTCCCTTAAAATAAAAATCAACCAAAAAGATCACCAGGAGATAATCATTCTATTTCACCATCCACAGAACCATCCATCCATCCTACTGGGCTGGGGAAATTGATCCATTTTTATTATTTTAGTTTTACATGCCATAGTTATTTATCGAATCCGGAATTAAAACTTAATAGAATAAATAAATGAAAATCGCATTAAGCCCAAAACACAATAAATATTTGAAATAATACCCTCCTCGCCATGTATATATATATTTATTAATTCAAAATAAATTGCGTCTGCGGTTTACTTCAACTCCATCCAATAAATTCGATATTGATTTCGAATTATTTATTGTAGCGATTTTTTTTTAAACAAACAAAATATTTGATTATGTAATTGGAATTTTCGGTTAATGAATAATGGAGAAAAGCGTCAGTAAATTTATCTACAATAAAATATAGAAGCAGCAAATAAAAAATGAGGCCGTATAAATTGAAAGAAAAAACTACTTACGGGGTTTAGGGTTTAATTTGTACAAGATGTTTGGTGCATTAAAAATCCACCACAAAACATCTTGCACACAAATTACTACCATTTAATAATTGAGAAATAATGAATGAAGTGAACATTTTATTTGCTCCATTTGTCCTATGATTTATATTAAAAACGCATGCTCAACTTGTGTCCACCACTATGTCTTCCGATACATACCTAATTAAAAAAAAATTAAATAATTTAAACGTTATTACAGGTTAAATTTCAGAGAAATATTACCTAAAAACTAAACCTGTATTAACTTTTTTTTTCCCTTATTCTATTGAATATTGTAGAAACAAAGGACAAAAAAAAAATCCTCTTTTTTTTTCTAAATTGCGGGGTAGGTTCGTACTGGAGAGCGACAGCTCGGCATTTTTTTTTTGGAACTGAAAAAGGGTAAAACGCACACAAAGGGATTCAAAGACGAGACACACGGGGGTAGTTTCCGAGGCGCCGCTTTCGAACGACATTTTCCTCTAATAAAAAATTTACCAATTTTCGAGTTTTTTTAAAAAATTCTCTTTCACCCGAAAATAGGACAGTAATTGCCTCGCAACAACAATTTCTCTGGACATAGAGGGGGAGTCGTTCTCGGTCCAATTTACTTCCTATTTAATTAAAGCGGCGTCTCGGAGGGATAAAAGGTGGAAATTGAGGGGGGCTAGAAAGAGCCTTGAGGAACGGGATTGACGAGGGAGGAAAAAGATAGGCCAGTCAAGGGCAATTTTTTCCATCCCACGGGCAAGCTTGAATTTTTCATGTGCACCAAATTAAAGTGTTGTGATTTTTTTTTTGCCAGAGGGACTAGAAGAAAATTACTTCTTGGTTGACCATCTTGCAACAAACTTGGCCAAAGTATGGTCCGAGTTTTTGAAAAAAGCAGGGCACGGATTCTTGAAAAGTCTTAGTCAAGAATGCGTTCCCAGGGGAATAGTGCAACAAGAAATATTGTCTTGTTTTGGTAGCCTTAGATTGAAATAAGTTAAATTCTTCAAGGCTACCAAGCATTTCCCCATATTCCCTGATCAAATATAAAACAAAATCCGGCAATAATTATTGTTGTTGCATCAAAAGACGCTCACACAAAAACAAAATCACATTCAAGTGTATTAATATTAAGGGTGATTAGCCGCAATTAGTACTCTATTAAAAGCACTAATATTTAAAAGAAAACTTAATGACTTACCTTTCGGTATACTCGTCCATATGGGCGTACGATTGAACCGAGTTTTCTTCGATCAGAAATTTGACTCGCTGATAAAACGAGGCAGTTACCGAAGGCGGTTGTTTTCTGAGCAAAACTTCGACAGGATCGTTGCTCGAAATGCACATGATATGATCTGCGCAGCTCGGATGCGAGCAGCATTCGCTGTCGGAACAATCGACCATACCGTCTATAGGATCAAAAACGAGAAACAATAATTAGAGACTGTTAGGGTTTCTGATTCATTGATAAAGATACTACGGAGCTTTTATGGATGTTACATAATCAAAAACGTTTTAGAAGTGAAACTTCTATCGCTCCGTATTGAGTTTATACGTCGCTCTCTTGCTCCACTCCAGGGGCATGAGAGTTGTACTGCGTGTAGGCGCATCACACTCTATTCTCTTCCATTGTCTCGTATTCAGTGAATATGTGGCTCTCTCTCTCTATTGCTTATACAATGCTTCCTGGACAATTCTCCCTTCGAGCAACTGAGACTTTGGACTTAACGCACGAATGGGGGTTAAAGACGAAGGACCGCAGAAAAGGGAGACGCTGATAGACGAAACTGTTTATTAGATATATACAAGCTTTACCTAGTTCGCTCTTTCCTGCTCTCCACGTTATATCTCTCTGCTCTCTCTTGCAACGAAGGCCTGTGTTTAATATACCATTCTCTATCTTCTTGTGCAGGCACCGTACACGTGATAGAAGTGGAACTTTTATCGCTTCGCATTGAGTGTACATATCGCTCTCTCTTGTTCCACTCCCATGGCATTAAAGTTGTACCTACTGCGCGTTCCATTGCCTAGTATTCGGTGAATACGTGGCTCTACCTCTTACTTGTACAATGCTTCTTAAACTTTTCCTTCGAGCAACTAGGACTTTTAGACTTAGCGCAAGAGTAGGGGTTAAAGACGAAGAACCGCACATAAGGGAGATGCGCATTTTTAATGATGTTACAAGGGAATCGGCGCTTAAAAATAATAGGCAATCGTTTTTAATTATAATCCTGGGTTTGTCTCAATCGTTCGTCGTCTGTCATTGTCATTAGCTGTGTTTCAACATCTCTCTAAGTTATATCTTTCTTCTCTCTCGTGGAACGAAATTTGCCAAAACATAAAGTTACGTGACGCATCTTTCAAATCACCCTCCATTCTCGTCCAAATATCAGACCGCCGCCTAAAAAGTTTTACTCCGACAAGAGGATTCTGGAATGTCTGAGAAAGACAAGATGCTGGGCGCCCTTTACAGGTGTTAGAAGAATAAAAACAGGAGAACGGTTCAGAAGAAGCTCACAAGTGTCTGGATATCAAAGTCGGGAAAATATTGAGCAGAAGTAATAAAAATCTGAGAGTCTCAGGCAGCGTTTCAACTTGAAGATACTGATGAGAAAAATTTAGTTGCTAATAAGAAATTACTAGTAGAGCATTTGCTACAATCACATGCATCAGTATTTGAAAAGGGCAAGGAACTGACAATATATGCTGAACATACCATTCAGTTCACTAATGATAATCCTATTTTGCAACCACCACCTAGTATTGCACTTGCACAAAAGGATATTTTGAAAAAGTTACTCGATGAACTCCTTGAAGATATAGGATCATTGGGGAATGTGACCGTCCTATGCTTTTCCATTTGTTTTGGCCCTAGACCTGATGGAAACATGCGCCTGTGTGTTTATTATAGACGATTGAACAGTATTACTGTTCCAATACAATACTCATAACCTAGAGTAGATGATTTACTTCATTCGACTGCTAAGGCTGTCTACATTTCAACGCTTGACTTGAAAAGTGGTTAACATGAGATACCAGTGAAGAAGAAATACCAAGATAAGACTTCTTTTATTACTCCTGTTAATACTTTTCGATACAATGCTATGCCTTCTGGAATGAGAACAACACCCACAACTTTTCAAAGGTTCGTTGAAAGATTTCGCTCAGGGTTATCACATATAAGTATGTTGGCTTATTTAGATGACTTAATAATTATGTCATCCACCTTTGAAGACCACCTAAAAGGCTGCCTACATTACAACTCTTGACTTGAAAAGTAGTTACCATCAGATAGCAGTGAAGATAGAAGACCGAAAAAATAATAATATTACTCTTTTTGGTACTTTTCGATACAATCCTATGCCTTTTGGATTGAGAACAGCACCCGCAACTTTTCAAAGGTTGGTTGAAAGATTTCGCTCAGGGTTACTACATATAAATATGTTGGCTTATTTAGATGACTTAATAATTATGTCATCCACCTTTGAAGACCACCTAAAAGGCTGCCTATATTACAACTCTTGACTTGAAAAGTGGTTACCATCAGATGCCAGTGAAGAAGGAAGACCGAGAAAATAATAATATTCTTCTGATACTTTTCGATACAATGCTATGCCTTTTGGATTGAGAGCAGCACCCGCAACCTTTCAAAGCCTCGTTTTTTTTCGTGTTTCAATTCAAGAACTTCTGTTAGACGTTGAAAGAACAAAAAGAAAAGTTCTAAGATTGAAATATCAAAAATAGACAAACTGAGATATAAACTTTACGGATCCTCTACAGGAATTGAAATCTTAGGCAATCAGAAACAAGATAATTTTGAAAACTTGTGAGACGGAGAAATAGGAAAATTGAGAAATGGGACACTCACAAGATAATGTGGATCTTTCACAGATAGACAAAAATAGAAATTATCAGGAAACCTTGAAAACAGAATGAATAATTCGAGAATCTTATAGTAATTAACCTCTAGGGTTTATCGAGGTCAACTGCAGGTTTTAAGTCTTTAGAGTGCCAGGAGCTTGTCAGGTGCTTCCAATCCAGTCCCTCGAGTTCGTATGTCCATGGTGAAACTCTCTTCCTAACTATGAAGGGTCCAACATACTTCGGAGCCAACTTATGACTAAAATACTGCGCTTGACAACACAAAATTCCTTTTCCAAACTCTCTGACCAAGCAAATAGACATCATCACGCGTCCGTAAGTTATGCCTAGCTACGTTCTTCTGTCCCGCAATTTCAAGTCTTGTTCGGATATCCATAAATAGTTTGAGGAATCCTTCGTTTCTGCTCAATTCTGCAGTTTGTTTCCCATTTTCCAGCTCTAGGAGATCCTTATTTCGATAATTATCACCACTAAGGCACATGCTTCTACCAAAATTAGCATACTATGATGAAACGGCAGTAGTTTCCTGGATAGCTGTACTTATTGCACAGGCTAATTTATGGATGTTTCCGTCCCACTTACGGTGACATACATAGCTAGCATGGTTTTCAGTGTTCTATTTTGTCTCTCAGTAGGATTTTCCCTGGGGTGATTATTAGCATTACATTGAATACGACTCTGATAATTGTTGGCCAATTTTTGAAATTCCTGGCTCCTGTACTGCGGTCCATTTTCACAAAGAATAAACTTTGGAACCCCGAGGAGCAGGAACACTTGTTTTTCAATCCTGCTGACAACTTGTTTTACTGTTGTTGAGCGCAGAGTAAAAACCAGTGAGAATTTGGTCAGCTCTTCACATACCTGGCAACATATTATCTCATCTTTGGCCAATACAATTTCTCTTTCAATCTATTAAGGGTTTTGTGAACGCCCATGTGTCCCGAAATTGGAGAGTCGTGGGCGGACCTGATAGCTTTTCCGCTGTCCTCTTTCGGCAGAACAAGCTTCCGATAGTCTACAGTAGAAGAGAGCTCAGGGTAATCTTGACGAACATACTTAAAAAGTTTACCATTTTTACCATCGCAGACACGCCAATTCAAAAAGCCGGACAGGTCATAAGTGTTTCCTCTCCAATAGCATCAAATACCGGTACTGCTCAGGACAGCATATCAGGAACTACCAAATCTCTACCTGGACGGTGAATTACCTTGAAGTCGAATTGTTGAAACTTAACTGCGTATGTAGCCAGTCTGCCGCTTGACTCTTGCAAAGTTTGCAGCCATTTCAAGCAATAATGGTCTGTGATAACGGTAAAGTTGACTCCCTCAATATATGGCGTTAGCTTTTCTTTGGCCCATAGCACCGCTAGACATTCTCTTTGGCTTGTAGTATAATTACAGTCTTGTCTGGTCAGTGAGCGGCTAAGGTAGTAGACGATTTTCTCTCCCTCATCTAAGGGCTGAGTCAATACGGCTCCAATTCCGTAACCGGATGCGTTCGTTTGGACTACCAATTCCCTTGTGTAATCTGGGCAGCTCAAAATGGGTGCGGCAACCAACCTTTCTTTTACCTTTCTAAGAGCTTGTTCACATTCATCTGTCCACACAAATTTCCATGAGGCTCCAAATTCGGTCCCAGAATTCCATCTGTGAGGTGCTGCCAAGTGGCCGGAGCGTTGTGAAGCCCGAACGGCATTCTCCGAAATTGAAATAACCCTCTACGACAAATTAATGCTGTTAATGATGGCTTTGATCTCTCCTCAATTGGTACCTGCCAATATGCACTTTTGATGTCCAGACTGGAGAGGTACTTAGCGTCCTTCAATTTGTCAAGAGTTTCTGAGTTCTCAAGAGTGAGCTATCCCGCTCACTGACCAAGTTCAGTTTCCTATAGTCCACACAGAAACGGTATTTGCCTGTATTCTTTTTCTGCACCATAACCACTGGTGAGGCCCATGGACTAGAGCTCGGTTCAATAACAACCATAGCCAACATTTCATCTATCTCTTCATCCATACATTTCTGGATTACTGGTGAAACTCTATAAGCCCTCTGGCGAATTGCTGTGGACTTGGCAATAATTTCATGCTCAACTATCTTCGTGCATCCTAGGGTCTGTCCCATAAACTCCTTATACTGATCGACCAATGTCAATAGGCGTTGACTTTCCAATGGTGTTAGCATCGTGAGTAACTCTCTGACATAATCCAGTAAGCAAGGATCTAGTGAAAAATGCCATTCATTATGTCTTAGGTCTAGACCGATTCTTATTCTGATCTAAAAATCTAACCCAAAGATCAGACCATGTGGAAGCTCCGGAATGACCACAACGACAACTATCTTAGTCCTATCTCGTACACAAATAAGCAACTCCACAACTCCCTCGCTCATTGTCTGCTGACCATCGACCATAGTGCAAATTGACTTCCTTGACCTGCCCAGTGGGACACCCGATGACTTGATAATCTCCCAACTTCTTCTGAGGAAAGTAAGTGATGCTCCAGAGTACAAAAGACCTAAAAATATATGTCCCAGTATATTAACTTCCAAGTGAGGATGTTCATCATTTTGTGCATGGTTGAGAATTGGGGCAACGGTCGGTTTTTTTCATTGGTTCCTGGCAGATCACCTAAGAACGCAGCCCGTTTTCCTGATTGCAGGAGGGGCAGGTTCTCTTAGTAAACCATTCTCTATTACACCCAAAGCATCTCAGCTTTTTGGGCTCCCCACAGCCAATCGCAAATTATCTCCTTCAATTTAGTCTGAAATTCTCGCTGTCTATCCATTGCAAGTTCAGATGAACTTCCATGAGGAGTCTCGTGTGAAAAAAAAAACGGATATTGAAAGACCAAACACAAAAACATTTCAACCAGAAAACTTTAAATAATTGAAGATCAACCATAATTTACCTAAGAAATGCCTAGGTCAGAAGACATTACAATATTTTACATACTGATTTGAAATAAAAGTTTTTGAAAAATGAACTTAAAAGCAAATATCTGCTTCCAAGAAGTTCTAGACTACAATTTGTTGTCATTCATTTCAAACTTAGCCAAATTTTAACTAAAAAATCTATATAAATTCAAAATTACTTTGCTTTAATTTAGGAATTTTTCAACACGAATTAGCTAAAATCATAAATCGTTTGACATAGTCTTTGAATTTTCTCTTATTAAATTCTTAGAAGATTCTTGAAAAATATGCTCCAGGTTTGCTTGCTTACTACTACTTGTAAAAAAAAAACGCAATATACGTCATAAATTTCCCCCTAACTAATTTATTAAAGCCCGGACTTTTATTATGAATAATGAGAGCGCTTTATTTTGCCGTGTTTCCTTCACGGAATACCGCATTTATTTATTTCAATGGAATAATCGAGCATAAATTCGTTCTTACCGTGATCGTTGTCCATATCGTCTTGGCACTCAGATTCCAACGCTATACTGCAATCGAACCCGGCCCAACCATCAATACAAACGCATTTGTACAGTCCTTCTTCCAGGGTGCATTGTCCATGGCCCGAACAAGCGTTTTCACAGCCAGCTATAAAATAAATGTATAATTTAATTAACGGTGCATACGGCTTTATGCATTTTAACACCCCCAGCATACATAAAAGCCATTCAAAACCCATTATAGCACAAACAATTATTACACTTTCACGTGACAAGAGATTTAATTCAGAATAAAAAAACCGTATTTTGTGATTTGAAACTCCCTTGGAAAAATCGGAGCCCCTAAACGTGGCACTGAATACTAACTAAATTAACCAAAAATGTATGATACACAATTTAAAATTCTCTTCGGGTTAATTTTACGTTCAATAGATTCAATAGAACATTGGTCCATTATTGCAAGAGTCAGGCTAGTAAAGACTTTTTAGTACTTTGTTCGTTCAAGAAACTTTTCCTCGGTAGAGGAATTATTAAGCCAATTAGTATTCTTATATCGTGCCACGGAGGGCATTATGAACCGCAGAGATTGAGCCTATCATAATGGAAAACTTTTAGTAGGCAGGGAGGAACGTGGAGTGGCAATTTGTTATATACACATATTTTTCAGGAAAGCGCGTTTTGTCAGGAAATCGTTAGTCGGAGCAAACATGCAATCCTTCAAAAAATAAATGCGCTGATGGGTTTTATTGAGCGAAAATTTTCCCTTTTAATCCCGAGTATCATCCGATGACACCATCTCTACCCGCAGTAAAAACTTGTTTATATTTCATTTCAACTCGTCGACAATGAGAACTTATTGATTTTTATAAATTCAGGTCTTTTGTATAATAAAATTTCACCCTATCGTGCTTTTAAAAAACAAATGACGAGCCCTCCTAAATTCTAAGGGATGATTAAACCCTTTCATTAATTAAAAATCCGAAAAGTCTTGTGTCGTTAACGGGGTTTTAGGGACTTAATTTTTGCCGGCGTAATTCAAGAAGATTGGGTCAAAGAAAAAAAAAACGTTTCCAGCTGCACTTTACCGATATAATTGGATCCCCGGGGAGCGTATAACGAGACACCGTTCGGATAACAACACCGAGGGCGATAAAACGTATCTTATCGAGACAATTTTTCAAAAGATTGTTACTTACGTAGAGTGCAGTGCCGTCCGTTCCAGCCTTGCGAACAAACGCAAGTGCCGTTTTTGCACTGGCCGTGCTCCTGACACCGGCTGTCGCACGGGAGCTGCTCGCACCGCGGACCAGTCCATCCTGGATCGCAACGGCATTTGCCTTGTTCGCAATGTCCGTGGTCACCGCAGTCTAGATTACAGAGAGCTGAAAACAAAAAATAGTTGAGTGTAACCATTTGAAAAAAGATACGATTGTCTGAATACTAATGGTGCTCTTTTTAAGACAATTATACTCAAGTTTTAGTTGGTAGACAAGCCTTTTACGCGCTAGACAGCCACTTTGCCGCGAGGTCAGTACTAGAATGTCACAATTCACTGGCAGTCTCTTCGACCGCCGGACAGAGAACTAGCTTCGTGGGACTGGGAAATTCCTACCGCTTTTATTCTATATAATCCTTTCTAAAAAAGTGCATACAACGGAATCACCGCTAGCCTGCAACAGAGCCTCTGTAAAGAGGACAATGGAGGAGGACGAGGATGACGCAATATTAATTGTTTCTCTGGAAAACGAGACGGCAACTGTCTACTCTCTGCAAGAGAAAACAAAGAAATTAAAAGCCCAACTTGCAATATTCCATGGCAAATGCAGAGCCTGCGACGACTTTGCCATGGAGAATAACAGCAAAAGTCAACCCAATTCTATACAATATCATCACCATTAATTCGGCGATTAACCATTTAAAAATCGCCCACAACTTGAAACAATGCCGTAAAAAGCCAAAATCTAACTCGAGGTCACCCAAACCAAATTCCGCAAATGCAAAAAACGACAGAGCAACAACAAACAAACCACAACAGCCAGCAACCGCCGCCGATTTACCACCAAACAATAAATCAGGTGCGGTACCAAAACTGAAAACTCCTGCAGCAGCTATCAGCATCACCGAAGCCGCAGCCGCCAGCACAACTAAAGCAGCAGCTGGCGAAGCTGATTTCAAAATGCCATTGAAAACAGGCTTCAAGAAAAGCATACAAATTTGTCAACTGGACTTCGGCGCGCCGCCGATACCGACAAGCAACAGGTTCGCTTCGCTCCCCTCTGATACTGAGTTCAATGACACAGCCAGTGCAATATCAGAAAACTCCTCACTAAGGAGCGAACAGATTTCCAGAAAAGGCCGGCAAAACGCCCCTAGCAAGCCCAAAGCCAAAACGCCAGCTGCTCCCAAGCCAGAAAAACCTCCCCTAAAAGTGGTAAAGGGAAGGTTCCAAGGTCACAGGGCTCTGAATGGGCTGTTCCAGAAACTTAACATAACCAAATACTCCATGCGATACGCCAAGAACTCGACGATTGTTTATTGCGAACAGACTCAAGACTGGCAAACTCTGCTACGAAGTTTCCTAGCAGAGACTGCAAAGACTCAATAAAATTACCACATTACCAACAGCCATAAATGATATTCCAGAACTGGAAAGGCAAATTGGTAATATCACAAACAACATCCAAGACATACGAGACCAACTGGCTACAAAAATTACAATCAAACCTAAGACTGACGCCATACCAGAATCCATTACAGCACTTATTAGACTGAGAAACAGGGTGAAGAGAGCATGGCAAAGGCGCTCCAACGAAATTGACAGACAAATACTCAAGGACCTAAACAAAGAAATAGAGAGGGACATACGGAATCATAGGAACCACACCTGGATGAAGTATGTTTCCTCTCTAGAACGCCAAGATAACTCCTTGTGGAAGATAGCAAAGAGCCCTAGGCGACCAGGAACACAGAAGGCAAACCTGGTCGTCAATGGTGTTAGCTACTACAAGGAAACCGACAAAGCAGAAATTTTCGCTGACTACTTTGGGACCGTTTTCAGTGAAACACCGAATACAACAAATACGCACAATTACATAAGACTCACTGGGGAAAGTTGCTGAACGAATACTTCTGGAAAGATTTACCCAGACAATCGACACCCTAAACTGCCTCCCACTGGAGCAGTTCGGGTTTTGAAAACAACACAACACGACCCTAGCAATAGCGAAGGTGGCTCAAGATGCCTAAATCTCCTTCAATAACCACGAAAGCACCTTCCTGCTGCTACTGGACATCGAGAAAGCCTTTGATAAGGTGTGGCACAGGGGCCTAATCCACAAATTAATGTACAAACACAATTTTCTACTACACTTTACATCGCTAATTGTGTCATACTTTAGCGACAGGACCTTCAAAATCAAAACAGAACATGCACACTCACAAACCAAGACAATTAGAGCGGGAGTACTTCAAGGCACGGTACTATCCCCAACTCTATTCAACTTATACATTGCAGACATACCGAAAACTTGCAACACTGACATAATGATGTACGCAGACGACACGGCTATCTACACCAGTGCCTTTTTCGCAGAAGACGCGAGAAGGGCTCTCGTGGAGCATCTTAGCGAAATAATCCCCTACCTACGAGATTGGAAAATTACTCTGAACTCTTCAAGAACTGAACTTCTAACACTAACCAGAAAACGGACAAATATTACAATTGAACCACCCTTAACTATCAACAACGTAGAAATACAAAACAAAACAGCAGCAAAATACCTGGGGGTGGTCCTTGACAAGGGCCTCTAAACACCTTACGCAAGGCGTATGGGGCTGAACGACTTCTGGCACCAATCATGAAACCAAACTCATACCTCAGCCCCATAAACCACATACAAAACCATTATACGACCAACCTTACTCTACGCTGCCCCCGCATGGAACTATATCAGCAACTCCCAAAATCTCATACTGCAACGATACCAAAATAGGATACTCAAGACAGCACTTTCTCTCCCCGTGGACACCCGTACAGTTGAAGTACAGGGTGATTCATTAAGAATGGCACTCGGCCATATCTCGAAAACTATTCATCGTAGTCTTGTCGGAAAAAAATTATCCCATAAATATGACCAAGAGAAAATGCTGGAAATATATTTCAGCTTTCTAAAATGACCGTAAGGGGGCGTAACCCAACTGTCAAAGTACAAAAATGGTTTTATTTTTTAAATTTCAAATAGAAACGTATCTCAAAAATGCTAGCAATAGATTTTTGATGAAATTTCACACAGATTTGTTGCATGACTTTTTACAATAACTTATCGGATAAGATAGATATGAGAAAAAAAAAAACAACAAAACCATAGATATGATTCCTCACTTGAATTATTATTGTTTAATTTGTGAAGTTTAACTGTCTAATTCTACCGATGACTAAAGAATTTATTTCGAAATCTAATATAATCTTGGTTGGTATTTCAATTAGCCCATTTGTCAGTTGTTGGAGGATGTTCCAGATTCCTGAATAAGCTCCAATAGCTATCGCAAATTAACATATATCATTAATTGGGGTGGATATGTTTGCGCGCCTGAGGATTCCAATAACTTCAATAATTATTATACTTTAGGGATAAGCACCTCATCATTTAGAAAATGCCATTCCGTCGAAATGTAATTTAGACAATAATTGCTTTCTGATGCCCTACGAAATTGTTTTTAGGCTATTTTGATTTCTCGCTTAGAATTATTATACCTAAACAATTCAGTTCAGTCGATTTAATTAAAATAATATTATACGACAATTACCATGAAATACGCCTTCAAATTTGAATTTGATCGAAAATGGAATGTTATTGGAACATTCCATTTTCGATCAAATTCAAAATTTATCTAATAAATGACGTATATTGTTTTAATGTTAATGGTGGAAAAATAAAATAGATTCCATTGAAATTTAAGGCCCAATACATAAAGAGTTTTCATCAAATACGTATTTGTTAGAAATTTAAAAAGAAATGACAATAGTACCCGATTAAATTGTGAAAAAAAATCTTTACAATATACCCTTTTTAAAATGTAAATCACTCTTTTTATGAGCATTTATAAATGTTAGGTTTACTTAATTTCCATTTTTTGAGTTTCAATTATTTATAGATTATAGATTCTCACACATGAAAAAATCAAAAACTTACGTTGTGAACAATCGGATCCGGTCCAATGTCGATTACAAATACACTTGGCGGTCTCCAAATCGTAAACTCCGTGCTCGGAACAAGAGGGTAGGCATTTGTGCACCTGCTCGTCGATAACGTTACAATCGGCACCCTTCCACCCTGCTTTGCAGTAGCATTGTCCGTGGACGCATGCGCCGTGCTCAGAACATGTTGGATCTTTGCAGTCGATCTCTTCACAACCTTCACCTGTAAAAATAGAATAATTGTTTTGCATTATTGTTTTGGTTGATACCAAATTAGTCAGCTTGATAACGACCGGAGATATTTCAAGTTTATATTTTCGGGAATAAGGATACTCCAAGTCAAACATGGTAGGCTCATTTTTGCTCTGGTTCTGTTTTTCCATCGCCATGTTTTAAAATACCATTTTTGTTTCATTTTACGTATGAATATGTCATAATTACAACAGCATCATAAGTTCTCCGTAAATCTAAGAATAGGACAATTATTGATTATCGTTAAGGAATGTCGCAAAACTGATAAGAAAATGCACCGACCATATAATAGCCCCATTACAGTTGTCATTGTAAATTCCGAATTAAATTAGAATGTTGTAAATTGAACGACTGCAGTGAAACTTTATTTTCCGACACTAGCCAAGTAAGGAAATACTTTGTTGGGAGTTTGTTTTCAAAGCCTTGCGGAAAGTAATTATTTCGCGTTAGGGGGCGTTATTATTTTCTCTAAGAAAGCAATTTGCATCCGTTCCGTAGAGGCAGGTACAAGCTTTCGGTTTAAAGTTTTGGTTAATTATCATTCTGACTCACCCTGAAACAACACGCCGCCAGGAGCGACCGCGAAGAAAAATTATTACATCAACTCCGAGAGTTTGTTTTCGGAACGTGAATGGCTAAAAAATAATAATAATTATCCGCCGGTTATTTGCATTTTCGGCAATGTTGTTCCGGTAATCCAATTTGCCGTTTAATCAAATAAAAATAGAGCAGAAAAGGCGAATAAAAGACATTCAAGCCCCGGAGTTTTACAGTACGTAAACGAGCTCCTAGAATTTTAATCAGTAAAGTAAAATGGGCAATAGTCCGTGAACTGCTTGCGTTTTACATTGTAACCGCGCTAATCGGATTAAATATACAGAGGAGAGGATTTTCGCGTTTTTTCTGCAGTGTTGGTTTTAGCAGGAATATTTGGGGCGAAAAAAAAAAATACAATACCTTTCCAGCCGGGCTTGCATTGACAAAATCCACGAACGCATTTCCCATGGCCGGAACAATCGGCAATGCGGCAATCGCCCTCGGGGACGTCGCATTCCGGCCCTTTCCAACTTTCCTCGCAGTGACAGATGCCGCCTCCGTATTGACCGTGACCGGAACATAGTACCGGACATACACCTGAAACAAATTACACACGATTTTTAGGATATCCTTCATTTCACCCTTTTACAACCGTAAAGGGTGCACTGTCGAAGTCAAACTCAAATTTCCTCACTTCACCTCATAAAATCTAAATATTATTCTATAGATTGATGATAATGATTACATAGTATTCTTGAAATGTCCAATGCTGAGAGTCAAATTTCATGTTTGATATAGAGAGGACCAGACGCATAGGCTTTAACCCATAACAACATTATTCATTGATTGTCAAATGTTTCATGTGGCTGTTTTGTGTTCATCTGTGAAAAATAAAAAATTTGAGTGAACAATTAGTTGAAAGTGTGAAAAATCTCCATTTAAACCAAAAGGAAAAGGCTACCAAAATGAAAAAAAGAAAAATCCAAACCAAACGCTGGAGATAAATCCACTGTCGGTGAGCTGAAACCACCAGTTTTTATTGAAGATAGGCTGAATTTGTGGAACAAACTTAAGGCTCAGTATGAAGCAGATTTGGCTGCCAAACCTGACGCTCCTATGAAAGTAACTTTGCCCGATGGCAAAGTTGTTGAAGCGGTTGCATGGAGGACTACTGTGTATGATATTGCTAAAGGAATCAGTCAAGGACTTGCTGATAACTCAGTAATCTCAAAAGTCAATAGAGTCTTGTGGGACTTGGACAGACCACTAGAGTCCGATTGTAAAGTCCAATTACTCAAATTTGATGATCCTGAGACTCAGGCTGTTTTTTGGGACTCCACTGCTGAGTGAATTTATACAGGTTGCTTGTGCTATGACCCTCCTATTGAAAATGGATCTTATTATGACATGTGGCTGGATGATAAAGGGATTTCCCAAACTGATTTCCCTCATGTAGAAAATCTTATGAAAAATATTTCTAAAGAAAAACAACCTTTTGAGAAATGAAAAAGGAAGATCTTTTAGAAACGTTTAAATATAATCCTTTCGAAGTGAGGATTTTGAAGGAAAAAATCGACACTTCAACTACTACTGTCTACAGATGCGGTCGACTTATCGATCTTTGTCGAGGACCTCATGTCAGGCAAACTGGAAAAATTAGGGCTTTGAAAGTTACGAAGAATTCTTCTACTTATTGGGAAGGGAAAACAGATGCCGAAACTTTACAAAGAGTATACGGAATCAGTTTTCCCGACAACAAACAACTAAAAGAATGGGAAAAATTCCAAGAAGAAGCTGCCAAAAGAGATCAGAGAAAGATTGGCAGAGAACAAGAACTCCTCTTCTTTCACGAGCTCTCTCCTGGTTTCTGTTTCTTCCAACCCAGAGGTGCCCACATCTACAACGCTTTGGTTGATTTAAAAAAACTACAAGAAACGTGGTTTTCAAGAGGTGGTGTCTCCCAGCATTTACAACGCCAAACTATGGCAAAATTCGGGACATTGGGCTCATTACGCTGATAATATGTTCACAATTGATGTAGAGAAAGAAAAGTTTGCCCTTAAGCCCATGAATTGCCCTGGACATTGTTTGATTTTTGATAATAGGATAAGGTCTTAGAGGGAGTTACCTTCGAGGATGGCTGATTTTGGTGTGTTGTACAGGAATGAGCTATCTGGAGCTTTAACTGGATTAACCAGAGTAAGAAGATTCCAACAACATGATGCCCACATTTTCTGTGCCCCAGAACAAATTGAAAGGTTGTCTAGAATTCTTGAAACACATCTATGGTGTGTTTGGATTTACTTTTGATTTGGTGTTGAGCACCAGGCCTGAAAAATTCTTGGGAGAGGTTGAAACTTGGAATGAGGCCGAAAAGGCCCTCAGTGAGACTTTGGACGAGTTCGGGCCCCACGTTGGGCGTTTATGAGTCTGAAGCTACATGGAGTAGCTAAGCTAAGCTTAATTGTTTGCTGTTTGCAAGTCTTACAGCGACCCAGGAATCTACCTGACGTAGAGTGAGGATCGAGGGTCCTCTCCAAATCTTCTTGGAGGTTAGGGATGTTCTAGCAACTAGGGGGGGCAGTAAGGCTGACTGGAGTGGTTTAGAAGGTACCTCTGGAGTACTGGGTTGGTGGGCAACCGGCACTCGTGTATCGGTGGAAAACAAGGCCTCCAATGAGGGGAAGAATGAAAATGGAGAGAGACTAAAGGAAAAAGGCCTAAAAAAAAGAAATATAGTATAGCAGTATTCTAAAAGAACTTTAACATTGTAGAACTTATCGAAAAGAAGAATAGCAGAAAATGAAAACTTACCAAAATACTTTGGCCTTTTACAGACACAGCACACGAAGAAAAATGGCTAAATTTGAGACTTTAACCCTTTAAAACTCATACAACCAAATCTGCCTATAGTGGCACTGTGATGCTATAATCTCAGCCACCCACAGGGGCTCAAACTTAATTTTGGTTTTAGATCAGCAAAAACACTTAGAGGAAACGTGCTCTAAACGATTTTTAATCCTTTTTGCTTTGGTTGATTTAATTTAAAAAAAGTACAGGAAACGTGGTTTTCAAGAGGTGGTGTCTCCCAGCGATTTTTCCACTCGCCAAGCAACCAGGTGAGGAGGCTGTGTCCGTTGATCTCCTGGGGGTGTATGCTTTGGGGGTGGTGTAGTCCATCTTTCCTGGTTTAAGTAGGAGCACCACTTCAACTTCTCTCCAAGCCTTGGGTATGTATCTCAGCGTCAAGAACGCCCTGAACTTCCCTACCAGGTGCGGCAAAAGTAGCGCCAGACTCTGAAGTAGAAGTGGATAGATGCTGTCAGGTCCTGGTGCTTTGAAGGCGGAGAAGCCTGAGATTGCCAAACCTATTCTTTCCTCGTATAGTATCTGATTCGCTAGTTGCCAATCAGCCACAGAGGGTATGTATGTTACCTGCGTCTGATCCTCCCCAACAGTGGTTGTGGAGTCAGGAAAGTAGGTTGCTAGTAGTAACTCTGCGCTTTCTTGGAGGTTGGCAGTGAAGGTGCCATGCTCCTTGAACAGGATACCAATTTCTCGAAATGGGTCTCTATTAAGTCTCGCCGCTTCCGTATAGTTTTCTATTTCGTTGCAGTATGCCCTTCAGGCATCTCTTTGTTTTTGTCATACGACTTTTTTATAATGGTTGAGTTGGTTCCTTTAAAGGTTCCAGTCCTCAGGTAGTTTGGTGTTTTTTGCTTTATTGAAAGCTTTTCTTGTCGTCCCTGCATGTTATTGGAATTCCTGCATCTTCGGCAATACCGCGTCACAAGATAATTCATTTATTACTCTCTATGTGTCTAGTAGGTTAGACCAGTCTGTATGCCATTTTCTCGTGACCTGAGTTGGGGATTATCTTGGTCAGCAACTTCCAGATAAACATTTCCTTGCTAGACATTCTTTTAGAAAGTTGAAACTTGAAACACAAAGTATACAGAGGCCTATCAGGAGAGCATATTTACATCCTGTCAAAGCGACTCTAAAAAGCCTAAGAGCTATCAAGCGCACATCGCAGCTGGTTTTGAAAAGGCAAAAAGTTCCTCAAGCTCGGAAAAACTCATTGACTGACATAAATACCAAGACATCAGATTTCTAATTATCTACGTCATCTTTTGCGAGAAATTTGTAGTCCAATTACATAAATATTTCAGTTTGTACCATTATTCCATAAAAACCCTATTTATTGACTTAAATCGAACCGACTGGGAAAACACTTTCGGTTCGAAAATGAATCACTCCAAGAACAAATGTAAAAGAATCGCTCCAATATTTCGTAAAAGAATGATCCCAATGCACCTTGTTCTATCTCGAAACGGTGTCACGCTGAGTCATTGAGTAAAAAGTCATACGGAGCGAATTCATTGTGCTTGCCAGAATAATAGAAAGAAACCATTTATCAGAAATTCCTTGTGGAAAATTTGTTATACGTTTCCGACGCTTTATCGTTTACAAAACGTATTTTACGAAGGTTTTTCTAGTGGCAAAAACCAATATGAAAACAAAATAAACCATAAGTGCCACATGGGATCGGAATTTTTTCTTTTAAACATAAACGGTCAGATTTAGTGTATCCAATTTGATATTCTTTTATGTGTTTAGGGATATTCGAATGGGGCCATTCAGAATTTTATAGTAAAAATATGTGTCATATACGTTCCAAAGTTATACGAACAAATTTCAACTTTCCCAGGAGCTTAAAAATTGCATTTCATCCAATGTAGCATTCACATTTTCACATTTATTTATCGCAATTCAAACGCAGTGAGCCAAAATTTATATTCGAATGCAAACATACAAATGATGTTTTCATTTCACTTAATAAACCCATTTGCGTTAAGCACATGAAACAAAATAACCCGTATTAAATTAAATTGAGACCTAAAGCCAGCATTATTGTCCGAAACGATAAGCATAAGCGCCAGGGTCTTTTGTTCTTCAATATCGCCGAGGGAATCGGAACTAAATGACTACAGGAAACCCCCCCGTGAGATATCTCACTTCGGGAATCGTAGGTATTATAAAGGGCAAATCCGGGGCCCCGAATCCCTTCTGGACAGGTAACAAACGTTTGCCACTTCAAATATTGCATGTTAAATGTGTTTCTACCAAATGAGGAATCAAGGAAACTGACTTCTTAAAATACAGGGCATAAGTATCATGGATAGAGAAAAATGCTACTTTTACTCGCTGTTTGCGAAATTATTACTTTATTAAACCGGCTCTTCGGGTAGCTTGCAAGACTATCAAAATGGCCGGAAAACGTAACGTTCCTCGAGTTATTCCAGTACTGCAACATACTAAATGTTACTGTTTTTCTTTTTCCCATATATTATTTAAAAAATTAAATTATCGCTTTGAATGCTGACAATCTGGTGACTGCCATTATTAAAAAAACTTAAAAAAAGATTTCTGTCGAAAATAGAAATAGAAATTATTAACCTACAGAGGGCACGCTTTTCGTTTAAATTTGAAGTACCAGTTTGGTACCAACACTTCTCGTTGGGTTGAAGGGAAACTCTACTTGTTCAGCGTGTCCTTTTCTTCGTCCCTTTTAGATTTTGCCATTCGCCCTGGAAGGTTGAATCTGGCCTGGGGGGCAGCCAACTTCCTCAACTGTGATTACCGTTCTCGTGAAGAAAAGTACCTTATCGGCCCTCAGGCATTAGTTTGGCGAAACAAAATTGCGCAAGGCAAAGTTCCGTTGATTAAAAAATTCAAATAAAAAGTCTTGTGAGGAATTTCGAACCCCCTCGTGGTAAGTCTTTTTTTTTGTAATGGTTGTTCATGGGTTTTCCGAGGAGCCGTTTCTCTCAAGGAATCCATTTTTGACAAGCCCACATTTCTAAAGATCACCATTTTCGCAGAGCGTGGGCATAGAGCTCTTGAAGTGATTTCCTAGAGGAATTAAGTCCCTCACGTGTCGATACCTGTACCTCCACATTTGACCAAGAAAACTGAACTTCTAGCCTGTATCTACGTTGACTCCAGGCTAGATACTGCAACTTCCATTTGCAACCTCTCGTCAAGTGACAGAAAATGGATGGCTACCATAATCCACCTTTTGTTGGAACGGAGGCTTGTATAATGTTTCATTAATAACTTTTATGTCATACCAATACATTATTGTGTTTTTATACCTTAGATAACATCTACATAATTTATTACTTTATGCTTTATGTTTGAAAACGAAATTTGGACAGAACTAGATTTAAAAGTGGTACAATAGGACGTAAAACGATCTGTAGAATCCGAAAAACAAATAATATTCAGGGTGTGCCATATAAAAATCAAAAGTTCCGGTTATTTCCGGTGAAATCGGAACTCAGGAAAAATTGCCATGGATGCATAAAAATAGCGTTTGGTTAGAATATCAACCCTACCAAGTTTTGTTGATATCAATGAACAAATAAAAAAATGGCAGCCGGAAAGTAATCCCGCCGGTATACTATGTAGTGTTTTATTGGTTTCACCTATGTCAAGATTTGGTTGAGTTGTATGCCTTATTTTTTTTTCTTTTCAGAATTATCAATTAACATTTGCTAATTATTTTTTTTAGGTGTGTTTCTGAATCCCGTCCCTGCATGTTATTGAAATTTCTACATCTTCGGCGGTGTTGCCGACACAAGATAATTCGTCCTATTACTTTTCATGTGTCTAGTAGGTTGGTCCGGCCTGTATACCATTTTCTCATCATCTGAATTAGGGAGGTCCTTGGTCAGCAACTTCTATTTATTGATTTTATTAAAAGTGTTTTACCTATATTTGATTTTATCTTTTAAAATTATATAATTCTGGATTTTTAACCTCGCTATGAAAATATATACTATGTAGTGTTTTATTGGTTTCACCTATGTCAAGATTTGGTGGAGTTGTATGCCTTATTTTTTTTCTTTCCAGAATTATCAATTACCGTTTGCTAATTATTCTTTTTAGGTGTGTTTCTGAATCCCGTCCCTGCATGTTATTGAAATTTCTACATCTTCGGCGGTGTTGCCAA